GATAAGGTTTTGAAGAATCCTGGTGCAGGCAATACGACTCAATTGGGATTCAGGGCCTTCATCATGCCCTTATCTGTTCCTTATGGCTAATAACCTTTTGGGAGCATGTTTTACTTACATAGTGATCTGATTAAGATTGGTTAAGGTTTTCAATCAAGGAGTTTCCTGTGACACCTGAGTAAACTTGCTATGCATTGTGATATAAATCTTCCCTTGCTATAAAGTTCGCCAGATCAATTTGAAAAATCAGTCAGGCTTTGGCTGAGCCTTAAAATAATCACTCAAACATGAACTGTATCCTGCATTTGTGTTGTGATAGACTATTTTTAAAATTAGAATTTAAAGCTTTCTCATCTCAAGTGCTACCAACAAATTATAATTGTAAGGTTAATGCATTCAAAATGCCATTACACGACTGAATGGTAATACACCTCATTTATCCACAGCAATGGATAATGATAACAGCTGTTCTGTATTGATGTAGTGACTTTACATTAGTATTGGGTAAAACATTGTACTCTCACTGCTCCTGGTCTCAGTCCCAGCTCACTTTACTTGAATGTATTTTGTACATGTCCAACAAAAAGCCTCAGAGGAGTTAAAGCATGCCCCTCACCCTCCCCCCTGCTTCAATGCTCATACTGTGAATGGTAGAAATGGACTGATGGACAACAGATGATGATGTGTCAGGATATTGTCTGGCACTGGATGAGTACTTATCCTCCAAAATGAAACACAGTCAGGCTACAGTGAAGCCAACCGGATTCAGTGTCTGCACACTCAAAGATATGAATGAATGCAATACTAGTTATGAATAAATGTATAATACTATTTTGCCTTCATGGGAAACATTTTACTGATTCATTGCATTTGTCGAGGAGGTCATGTCTTCAATCCTGAATGTTTTAGCCATTCATCAGCTTGTCAGTATGTTACATTATTCTTCTATTAAAGTCTCTTTGCAGACTCTGTCATGCTCTCAAACAAGACCGTACACTGGTACTTTGAGCTAAGTGCTGCTGTCAGCTTTCTGATGTGCTACATTATGACTTTTAGCAGTTCTTTTATTTCCAATGTTCACCATCTTAGTGTAATGTGTCAGCATGGCAACATTTGCTAATTAGCACTAAGCCCAAAGTAGCCTACAGCCGAGGCTGAAGGGACCCTCATTCGTTTTTTCTGGTATTTCATCATAAATCAAAGTACTAGAATCCTGATAAATAAATATTCTGACTTGATAATAAAAGGTTTATGGATTAGAAAATCTGAAGCAAACTGTCCAGTAAATTTCATTAAATACCATTAATTGTCAGTGTCATAAACCAAAGTGGTAAACTGACATTGTCGTCATTGCAGCTTCAACTTTAAGAATTGGTGAATTGGTGAATTAGGGTATTCCTTGATTCCTTGACCAAGGTTTTTTTTGTGTGTATATATCTATATATAATCATATATGTAAAAAATGATAACACAGTCCATTACCTATCGAACATGAGCCTAACTCAATGGATTATTTTAACATTTTGTTCTTGTATAAAGCCCTAAAATTCACATTTTCTGAAAATGTCTGTATAATTGTGTGTCATCGGGTGTATTTGAATACAGATTTACTACTCAGAATCCTCAGCGGGAGAGATCCACACTCATTAATTGAATGCACATCTGAGGTCTTTTGAAATCTGCACTTCATGAAAGTCTAATCCAAAGTATTCAGTTGATGTTTCTTTTCCCCTGCTTCTTTTTACTGTAATGAAGGAAGAAAGACCTTTTATATCAGGCATAAAAGAGTCTTCGACATTTGTAATTGCAATTATGAAAATGTTTTATCTCAAGAACTTAAAGCTCTCTGAGTTTTTTTCTGCAAAATAATTAGAATAGCTGTAATTTGGGGAAGATTTTTGTTCCTGTGAGTGAAATGTGTAATTTTCTGATGATGCATGTACTTTGGTTTCTGAGTAGAGATAATACCGCTCTGTTTGAAGGACATCTCAATGGTAGATAACCATGTTTATTTCAAAGGATAAAATTAAATACTCCCGGTCCAGATGTACTATAATCCCCCTCAAATCTCTGTATCTCACTCTGTCACCTTTATTCTCACCTGCTTTTTTTTTCTACAATTTTGATTTGGGTTTACATTTGTACTCTCAACTTCATGGGCTTCTGGCTTTTTTCAATCCAAGTATATGTCGATTTCTTTCTGTATAAACGCTCCATTACTGTTTTCATGTTGTATCTAACCACAGTTCTCTTCCCTGCAGTGCTGATGAAAGGTTTGATGCTACCTTCCACACAAATGTGCTGGTCAATGCGTCAGGATCCTGCCAGTACATCCCACCAGGTGACACATTCAGGATATTCCTGATCTTGTCTCTCACACAATCGTTTGTGGATGTTGTAATTGTATCATCACCAACATTATTATCCTCAGAAGCATCATTATCATCCATCACCATCGTTATCTTTATAAACACCTCAATTTTTTTACTTTTTATTCATAGAAGATGTTTTGTTATTGCAAATCAAAACCACGGTAAATTAATTTAGTTTGTTACAAAACCTCAGTGAGGAGGAACTCAGTCTGAGGTATCACAATACTTTTGTGTGGAAAGGTGTAGATAAATTGTTTTATTTTTAAATTAATTCAATAATTTGTAAGTTTTAAACTTACATTTTCCTTCGATACTGTAAATAGTTTATATTTTAACTTAATTTGTCTGCAGATTAGGTTATAGGGGTCCTACAGAATTAAGTCTTAGCCTACGAGTGCAGTGGTCTTTCTGAACTTTGGAATGGGTGGTTTGCTTGGTCTGTGATAATGCTGGTTGCACATGTCTCTCTGAAACTGTAAAAGTGACCTGAGTTGCAGAAAGTAAAGACAGGCTGAGGGACTCAGCTGCACCACTGCTGCTGCACATAGAGCTGTTCACCTGTTAGCTAGACTCAGTACACAGAATCGAACCAGAGACTCAGTTGTTGTTGCTGTGAACAAACATTTTCATGACTGACACGTCTGTTGATGAGTCTAAGCCGTCGCAGCTACAGAGCACTGGTTCACTGTTTATTAATATTGAACGTTTCAATGGCGGTGTGGCGCTATCACTGTAGGTTATCTGATCGTGCTCCTAACTCATCATGGGAAGTTAAGACATTTCTTCTTATAAGTTTTCTTAGTGTGTAGAAGGAGACATGTTCAACTTTGTCAGCAGACTGTTTATCAAGACACGCTGGCCCGCCTCCACTGCACAGATGGCAAGGCGCTGTTTATTTGAATTCTATTAATATTGAATGTATCATGTGTCAAGATCGCACCAAATTTCAAACTGCACTTTCTTGGGCCTTTGACAATATAAAGCTGATAAGATGACCCATTCACAAGATACACGAGCCACATAGTAGATAGATGTAGGGACTTTATCTTAATTTGATGCTGTCCTCTGTGATGCATCAGAAATGTCTTCCTCAAGCATTCCTGGCAGGTTGTCCTCAGTGAAATGACTCAGAGAAATTCTGACAAGACACACTAGTTATCTCTTTGCCTGTTGTCAGAGAATTTAGTTTCAAATGAAACTTTCCCCATCACATCTCTCCAGGCATCTTGAAGAGTACCTGCTACATAGATGTTCGGTGGTTCCCGTTTGACGTGCAGAAGTGTGACCTGAAGTTTGGCTCCTGGACCCACAACGGCTGGCTGCTCGACCTGCAGATGGTGGACGTAGACATCTCTACCTACATACCCAATGGAGAGTGGGACCTTGTAGGTAAGAAGATAAACAGACAGGCCAAGTACATAACACCAGTAAAATAAGAAAATCAACCCTCATGCAGTTTCTGTCTGGTTATAGGCATCCATAATACAAATTCATAATTCTTTTATAAACTCTGAAGGTTTTAGTGCAAAGTTAAGTAAAATAGATCCAGCATTAACTGTTGGGTCAAAAATAGATTTTAAAACTTGTACAATAATCTAAATTACAGGGAAAAAGATGAGTTGTGAGGGCTGATACATATGAATATTTGTGGGAAATACCTGAGCGTCACATTGAATGTAAAAGAAAGACAAAAGTGAACCTTCAAACATAGAAGGGATATTCTCCATCTTGTTCTATGTTCTACAACAACTAGTCCAACATGAAGACTTACGACATTTGGCCTTGGTGTCATATTTGTGGAAGTTTAGACGTCCATTCCGTGTCGACCGGCTCTGACAGCAGGTGTTTCTGTAACGTCAACTTCCTTGTAGATGTCATTCTCACTGACACTTTCCTGTCCATCAATCCTGGTTAAATCAGAAAGCTACAGATAAATATAGCTGCTACAGACACCCTGGAGAATACTGCTGCTGTTTACTGTCGCTCTATCCACACACTTTCTTCCTGCCGAGGAATTCTTGAACTTCTACAAAGAAACAAATCAAACCCTGTTTCTGATGAGGCTAATTTCAAGTACAGCACCAACAGGTAAGCTATTGCACAAAAATGTATGATAAACAAGAATGTAAGCACAATAACAACAGATAGAGCAAAACAAAGACTGCTCTAGTTTACTTGATAATTCCTATTGTGCTTCACTCCTGCTGTGATATTGTTTTAGTCATGACTGCACTGCTTACTTTCTTCCTGCTCCATATGCAAGCGTGGTCAATAAAATCTGGGAAATCAGAGAATAATGGGACTAAGGGCTCTCACCGGGAACAGCTCTGTTTATTATTCTTTGTGTTGTCTGGCCCCTGGCCTCTGGAAGTCTTGCACTGCTCCTCAGCTCGTCTGTCTGCTCCCCAGAAACAAACAGAGATTGACAAGTTCAAGAAAAAGATAAAAAACTGATTCCTTTGTTTTTTCTCTTCTCTTGTTTTCTTTTTGCTATCCTCTTTCTCCGCATGCAAATCAACTCTCATCAACACTAACACAATTTTGTATATTTATCAGAGGCTGACAGAGGAATCCATATTCACACACACAAACACACTTACACACAGAGTGAATGGACCCAGCTGGCTTGGGGAGGCATGGGTGTGTGTGGTGACAGCTGGCCCAGGGATGGTTCACTTAATTCAGGCACAGCCAGGCGGAGTGCTGGCCGAGTACATAGACACTGTCCTGGTGCCACAGAACATACCCATGCCCATGCCAGCATACACACAGACACACACACAGACACCTAAAACCTTGCATAGACAGACAGACACACACACAGGATTTGGTTGATGCATCTGCAGGTTTACGATCCATCAAATTAATAAATGGCTAACAACGGCTCTTTCTCTTCAGCGTTCAGGTGACAGTTTAAATGAAATTCAACTGAATCCCTGCAATTAGTCTGGATTGAATTTCCAACACACACACACTCTCTCCCTCTCGAGGGTAAAGGTCTAATTTGTTTCTGTGACACTCACCTCAAAATGTGTTGTTGATATGGCTAATGCAGCCACACTGATTCTTGGAACATAATCAAAGTCATGGTCCTTAAGGATATTTATTCACAACAGTGTCTTGACTGTGAGCCACAATTGACTCTTCATTCCAACTTAAAAAGCATACACACACATGTGCATGCACACATACACAATGTCTTAACACCACCTCAGGTTAACTTTGAACTAATTGTGTGTTAAATCTTTCAAAGTCACACTTATTAATCATCTTGCTACATATTTTGTCTCATAGCGAGCTTAAATGATTCCGATACACACACACACACACAAACACACACACACTTTATCTGATGTATGAGGAAGATTAAACAATGTAAATGTGAATATGCCAACAAAACAGATAAGAGCAGGTCACACTGATTATCACTGCAGTATTAGTGAGTGGTTTGTCATTGAACTTCAGATTTGAATGTAATTCTCGTCTGTACTGTAGCACATAAATAATGTCATGCTTGTGGCCTTAACCTGTCAGTGTGCAGAGATGTGGATTTACAGTAATTTGTGTTTCTATTAATTGCTACATCTTTATCTCAATTTTCTGTAATTGCATTTTTCCTACTTGAGGGCACTTCAGAAATAGCTACAGCTTCAGAAAACAAAGTCTGCCCTCAAACAGGAGTCATTTGCACTACGTGCAGGAACCTGCACAAGGTTACACAGTGTTTCATATAAAAGTTTGAATTGTAAAATCAGTGTATTTTGTGTGGTACTTAAGGGCGAGAGTGCATTTACTTTTGTGACAAGCTGCTTGGTTACAAAGAAAATACGTTTGTGGCAAAATCCTGATCAACTATAGTGTGTGCGCAGTTATAGATTTAACCTTCAGATACAGAAAATGTCAATTTTTGTATTTTTGCGCACAGACTTCACATTTTTAATTTCATTTTATAACTCCACTATCTTCCCATCTCTTTGCTTGTCCCCCAGGTGTGCCAGCTAAGCGTAATGAGCTGTACTATGACTGCTGTAAAGAACCCTACCCCGATGTCACGTTCACGGTCACCATGCGCCGCAGGACACTTTACTACGGCCTCAACCTGCTCATCCCCTGCGTGCTCATATCTGGTCTGGCCCTGCTGGTCTTCCTGCTCCCTGCTGACTCCGGAGAGAAGATTTCACTGGGTACTGAGCAGGAGACGCTCATAAGCATATAGCAGCAATCAAACACAAACACACACGTCCTTCTATCTTAGTGAGGACACTGCATTCCCTGGTCCCTAACTCTAACCTAAACCTTAATCTAACCATAACCTTACACCAAGTCTTAACCCTCAAACAAGACTGAAAAAGTGAAGACACAAAAATGTCCTCACTCAGTAAGGTCTATGCTCAAAATGGTCCTCACAAATATATAAGTACAAGTACACACGTTCCCTCACACCAACACAAAGACATGATTAATAATTAGAATCATACATGCAGACAAAAATGGATCTCTCTCCCCAGCCTCGGAGATCTCAGCCCACCAGGTCCTGACGCTGTTTCCAAACCATCTCTATTTATTTGTCATCGCTCTATGCTAATGCTGACATTATGGCTCGGAATTAGCATCTGTGTTGGATTCCATTCATTAGCAGAAGAACAAAAGCTTCATTATAAAGGCAGCAAAGATTATCACCTGGACCTGAAAGTGCCATTTTGTTTTTAAAATGCCATTCAGGGAGACAGGCTCGAAGTAAATATATAACTCACTGTTCCCACGAGGGAAGAAAATAAGAGTGAATATTCCAAAATAAATCCCCGATGTTTTCACCTCTTTTGAAGCAACCAGCTGCACTTATTTTGAGTGCTCTCAAGTCACCATTTAAGAGACGATGATGAAAGTTTGTTTACCCTTTGTGCTTCTGCTCATCTGTCTACTGTTGTTTTTTTTCTCCAGGCATCACTGTGCTGCTGTCTCTCACAGTGTTCATGTTACTGGTGGCAGAGATCATGCCTGCCACTTCTGACTCTGTTCCTCTGATTGGTAAGACACTTTGCTGCACTAATTATTGCTCATGTTGTTGCACTTTGAAAGTGATGAAAAAAGTTAATTTGTAATAATGTGGGACGCCCTTTAAAAACAGGAATATCTGACACACTTTCTTGCTCTGGATTAGATAAGGATTTATATTTATGGTGAATTCAATCGTACATGGCCTCAGCAGATAGAAACAGTCAGCTTGTAAAAGGTTTTGGAGGTTTCTAACACAACTGTTTGTATGGATTATGATAACAAGATAAAGCCTCTTTATAGAGAGCAATAGAAGTATTAATAAATATTGACTAGAGCCAAGCTACCCGTTTCCCTTTGTTTCCAGTCTGAATGCCGAGCTAAGCTAACAGCTTTATACTGAATGGACAGACCTCAGGCAAGACAAGGACACACAGGGATGGCACTGGGTTGTGAGGGACTTTAGGTGTAGTGGCTGAGAGCATTGCAACCTTCATGTTCATCCTGTAGGCTCATGTACACTGACCCAGAACAGCATTTTTCTCATACTCCTATTGTGGAAAAGGAGTAGCTGTAAAATGTTGAATTAATTTTTTCTCAGCTTCACAAAGTTGGATAATCTAGACGAGCTCCATGACTGAACAATTGTTTCCAGTTCATATGTGGGGAGAGTCGACCTCTGATGGCAGAAGTCTCAGTTGGAATGCTCTAAACTGGCTTGGCTGGAGTAGGATGATAATGAAGTTGTTATTTACTTTGTTTAACATTTTTCTCATGTTCTGTTTGCGAGAGGTACCGATATTCTCATGTAACCGTTGGCAAAAAAAAACAGAATAGGTGTGAAATTTAGACAAAAAGACTCTTAAGGACAATATCAACAACAAAGCTGATGGATGCAAAGAATCATTTACCCAGCAGGCGGTAGACCAATGTGGGCTGTGGCATGAAAAGAGCGGCTGAATAACAAAGCGCTGTGATGTTCACACCTCACATTCACACCACAGGGCAGTTTGTGTAGGACATTTTTCAGCCTCCACACATACGTGGTGCGCAAGCAGGGGGGGGGGGGCTGAGCACGAGGCTGTTGATGCAGAATGCAAAGACGATACGTAGGACACTAACAGAGCAGCATTGTATAACGGCACACTGACAGAGCAGAAGAGACAAGGCCGTCAGCTACGAGATGAGAGTTGAGGCTGCAGACAGAGATGCTGCTCCGCATCATTTGGCAGCTCAGCGATGTAAAACAGAGCCATTAGCCAACTTGCTTTTTGCTGGAGTCGATGTATTAACACATTGCAGATGGAGCAGAACTACTGGATTGAAGACAAAATAAAATGCTCCTCAGCATTCACAGCATTTGCTCTTGACAGGTTTTTATACCGCTCCAATTATACTTTCAAACGGGGAAGTATCCAGAATTATTTGATTGCACTTTTTCTGTGAGGACACTGTCATGACACTGCTTTGACCTTAGGTTTGTTGACAGGGATAATCTCCCCACTGACCAACCTACCAGCTGATGGACTTGGCACAACAGTCCTGCCAAAATACCAAGCTCTTATGTTTCTATCTTAGATACATACACATAAGCGTTTTATTCTAAATTTACTGGTAAATCTCAGATAACATAATTAATATAATTTCTCTGTCTGACACTTTGTTAATTTTTTTTATTTATCCCAAAAACAAATTGCTGTAATATGTGTTGTTTTCCTCTTCAGCTCAGTACTTTGCGAGCACCATGATGATCGTGGGCTTGTCCGTGGTGGTGACAGTGCTGGTACTGCAGTTCCACCACCATGACCCCCACGGAGGGAAGATGCCTAAATGGGTAGGTTGGCAATTTAATTTTATTATTAAGGCTGCATCCATCCTTGTTTGAAAAGGGTATTTTCAAACTAAAACAATGAGCATTTAGGCTATGTATCAGTTTCAATCCATGTCCATACCAACACGCCTGAAAATGCATATTCCATGTGACAGCTACTATTCGTGTAATTTGCAACAATTCCCATTTCCAGCAGGACATGAGTGGAACCTGCATGCCGGTGTAAACAGGAAGGCATGCAGGTCCCGCTGACTTGAGCTATGAGGGGACATTTATTCATAGGTTGTGTCAACACAAAGGTTTTTCTATGAGAGCGTTCTTGAACAAGCAACAACATTTTAATTTTGTTTGTAAGCACTTCATCATAAGAAAGATGATCCACTTTTAATCAAGAACTAATGCACTCAGTGGAATGAGAAGCTTTAAGTCTGACATTATTGTTTTATAATCCTCTGGCACATTGTGCATCATATCTCAGAACTACCTTGACAAATTAAACCCAAATTAAGCTCTATGAGAGATTATGATTTGTCGATATGGGCCATACAAATAACATTTGATTAATTGATTGATTGCTAAATATCACATTGGGAGAAGCAAAAGTTTGAGTTATTTCTTCCTTTTTCTTTTCATTTTACCACTTGATTCTTCATCTGTAATCACACAGTCTCCCCTCCCTTTCTCACCTCTTTCCTCTCTCGTCTCTTTGTCCAGGTTCGAGTGATTCTCCTCAACTGGTGTGCTTGGTTCCTCCGCATGAAGAAGCCTGGAGAGGAAAAGAAAACCGCAGTGAGCTCCACTAGCCCCCCAAACTACAAGTACTCCCAGCCTCCTCCTCACCACACCAGCACCAGCAGCATCCAGATGAGCACCATACCAGGCCAGGCATCCACCCAGTCGACCACAACCAACGGGAACATGAACCTGTACTTTGGCTATCACTCAATGGGCACAGACAATCCGGCTTTCCCACCAAGCACCGATTCCGCCGTGGTGGCGTGCGGCGGTGGCGGAGGCGGCCACCCGAACGGCTCGTCCCCGCACGACATCCACTCAGAGCAGACGCGGACTATGCTGCTGGAGCAGGTGCCTGAAATCTCCCAGATCCTGGAGGAAGTGCAGTACATCGCGAGGCGCTTCAGGGAGCAGGACGAGGGAGAGGCAATCTGCAGCGAGTGGAAGTTCGCAGCAGCAGTGGTGGATAGGTTATGCCTGGTGGCCTTCTCGCTCTTCTCCATCATCTGCACCTTCACCATTCTCATGTCAGCCCCCAACTTCATCGAGGCTGTGTCCAAAGACTTCACATAAGGCCGATATCATCCCTCTCTAAAGGAGACAAGAGAGGCGAAGCTAACATTAAAAATCCTGGCACGATTAGAACTGAGCCACATGAGCCTCCCTGTGTCTGCAATGTGAAGTAGTTCAAGATCCAGATGTTTTAGCTGTTGTTGCAAGTCACCGTTCTTCAGACCTGAACTTTTCCCTCTTTCTTCACATATTTGTCACTAATATCTGGTGTATTGGGGTAATGTGGTTTTTAATTTTAAGGTGGCATTCTTATTTGATATGCTACGTAGGAGGTTGAGGCTACGCACAATAGTTAATTATGTAGAAACAGACTAATGAACTTTTCATCTGTGTCCCTGCTGCACCACATCGTTTACCTCCCACCAGTTGAGCTCATGTCTCATCACAACACACTGCTCACACACATTCCTCTCCAGCTCTCTTCTCTGCTGCTTCTTCCACTTCCTTTCTCCACCGTAGTGCAGTCGATAAACAATTATTTTTTTCTTTTCCCCAGGCCTCTATTCTAGTAACGCAAGTCTTTTGTATTTTGTAAATAAATCTACATCTTACTTTAAATGTGGTGGGGGACGATATCTTTTCTATTATGTTTGTGAAATTACTGAGAAATATTGACATGTTTTTGCACATAGCACTGTGCACCTCCCTTATTTTAAAACTGGAGCAGCGACAAACGACGATGATTTTTATTTTCTATACCTAAAGTGACAGATTTAAATTGCCTGTATTATTCAACAGCCCCAAACACTGAGCGATTCACACAAAACCATCCATTCTTCAAATTTCATGAAATAGAAACAGTTAATTTTGCTTTAAAAAGTACCACAGTGATTAATAGAATAATTAATTGATTATCGAAAAACAATGCAATGTTGCCACTCCCTTTTTCACATTTTGCAGTACTGAGATTGTTCATTTCTCACCTCTTTCTTACCTTTTCACTCACCCTTGCTTCCTCACCCTTACTATTTGCTATCAGTTTTCTCATTTCCTGGATCCAGGACCTGTGAAGATAAAAGGTTTTACCAAGTCAGACTTCACTCTGAAATACAAGGCATTTACAGGTCTGTCTGATATAATGTATAAATCATTTTTCTCCCAACATCTCTCTTCACTTCCATCCCTTGTGCAAAACAGTATATTGACACACTGTGGCTATAAGATCACTCACACTCAATCACAATGCTTTTATATGTGTGCTACTCACATGTTGCTGTATTCAGAGAAATATTCACAATGAGAAGAGATCAGAGCAAGCAATGATTAAAAGACATTATTTATTCTTATGACAGATTTTTAGAAATTTAGTCTGAAGGGACATCATGCTGGTAGAGATGCATTTGGTACTAATCTTTTGCACAGCAGAGCGCTTTGTGTTTTTACTCTCATAATACTCAGCAACAGGCAAACACTTTCTTCTCTAATCTCTAGCAACAACATGCAACATGGATTACTGGGTCACCTTATGTAACAGATTTGTGTTGAACCTCGCATCTCCTCACCACATGAACATCCTCTCTGATCTTCAGTGCAACGAGACACAAGTGAATTGCCACTTTTACACGAGCGACTGAACTCAGACGTAGCACTTTGCCACTTCAAGTGAATTCTTGAAGAGGGACCAGGGAAGAACAAAATCAGCAACACGCAGTTCACTGTGGGACCTCGACAGGAACAGTCATTGAAATTGAAGTTGCACTCAATCGACAGGCAGAGTAAAGACAAACAGCTGCAAACTGATGACAACCTTTCATGCCACGATGACTCCAACACCGTAAAACATTTAAATGTCATGTCCACTAAAATGAACAGAGACGAAGAGCTGAAGAATTCTGCAGTTCTCTACATGTGGACAATGTTCATGTATTTTTGATTCAGTTTTGAAAATGTAATCAATAGTAAATAACCTTCACAAGCTTTTTTATGTCGACATAAAAATGATCCAGAATAAAAATGTAATGTTGGGGGGCACCATCATTTTAATGCTGAACAAGGTTGTAAACTGGTTTGAGTTTCTCTTGGATGGTTAGAAGATCACTGCCACTGTCATGTCGGTATGGAAAAGCTACAGGTGTTAGCTTAGCACAAAGGCAGACAGCCAAGACTCCAGGAAGTCGCTGCATCCACCCAAGGACAGTAATCAGAGAGCTTTCGAGGAGTTTGTAGAAGGATTTTATCGTCTTAGGACAACGTCCTCGTGCTAAAATAATCCAAGCAGCTGCTGCAGGCTACAGCAACACTATTTTCACACATGCACAAGAGTTTACAGATTGGAAGGGCTTCACTGTATGTGAAAACAGAAAGCTGTGCATCCATCTGACAGAACAAAGCTCAAACACTAATCAGTAGAGAATATGAACATTGAAGGTTATGACATTTTACCAACGTGGGCTAATTACAGTTTTCTTCACATGTTACGTACACGTGACACCTCTCTATTGTTATTGGTCTCTTTTCAGCATTTCTGAAGTTTTTCTGTTGTTAAAACATAAAGAGAATTCTGGGTTAAATTGATTTTTCTAGTTTTGACGCTGAAACACACAAGTAGCTTGAAAGGGCAATGTTGCAAATGTGACGTTGTGTTGATTTTTACTGAAAACTTTAACTGAGACTGTTTTGTTTTCGCTATCACAGACTTTGTTGTATTTTTTCAACTTCAGTGTCATTCTTGTGGTCTGTGCCTCTTTGCTCTGTATGATTCATTCTCCTTCAAAAGATGTGCATACATGCTCACTGTACATGACTTTTGTGACAAATAAACAGGAAATGTGCTAATTGCTGGTATTGGAGTGGCTGACATGCTGCAATTCACTTACTATTACGCTTGAAAATACTTTTCAGTTGTGAGATTGTTCTAATTTCTTGAGGTGACTGGGATAACAGGGCTAATGCCATGCAGAGTCAGCTTGTTTAATCAGACCATGTGATCCCCATGATATGATAGTAAGGTCACAAACTTAATGTTGAAATTCCATCAGACTCATCATGCTTGAGGTGGTTGACATTTCCATACTAAAGTTGATAAATCTACGGGGGTCCACTTAAATGCACAGTTTACCAGACCTGACGCGTCTGCAAAAATCGGTGAGTTTTCACCCACGGGAACATCCCTAAAACATCGCAAACAATAATACTACAAAAATTCCTTGAAGAACAATAGGGCCTTCGCTGCTTCACAGCGCTCGGGCCCTAACAAGTGTGTTAACCTGCTTTCAGACATGTACTTAACTCTGGCGATCCTCAGGACAATCTACGAGGGGATGAATTCATGTCTGAATACAGCGATAATACAGCTATAACGTCACAATCCAAATATAGCCTATACAAAAAGTGGCAATTAAGATGTGCACGAATTTACATGCAATTGTGTGTTTTACCATATTTGTATTTGTTGTATTGATTATATTGTTTTCATGGTTAGAATTGAGTTGGTCACAGAACTGCAACTCCTCATTACTTTACTCAGTGAAGTAATGAGACTGAAGTCAATAAAATCCCCAGCCAGCCGATCAGAAAAATCTATCTCAGAGATGCCTGCAGCCATACACAATTGTGACATAAGTAGGAGCTTATAAACACAGCAAAAAACATAAATTCCCATTATTGTGACTATTTCTAAAACTCACACAGCATGAGGCACAGGCTCTAAAGAGACCATCGCAGCATTAAATCTGTGACGTTCTGATGTCCTCACAGAAAAGGTTGTTTCTTATTATCTGGTCCTCACAAGTACAGCAATCAATACACACAAACACACGCACACATATACACACACACAAACACACACAGTGGGAGCTCAGCAGTGATGACATGTTCAGATTGGTCAAATCTAATGTCAGGCTTCACTACATGCAGACAGACAACTGTTGGTGGCTGGAATCGCACCACTCAGTAAAACAACATGCAAACACACACACACAGACACACACACACACCCTTGCCAACAACAGGGAGCTGATAGAGACAGCGTTGCCAGATGGAAATGTTGAAGTATTGTACAGAAACAATCCTTTTCAAAGCTCAAGGCTCTTTTTTTGAAACAGGAAGGACTTGTATTAAGATAGCGAGACGTGAGTCTCAGTGTCACGTTCGTCATCACAAGCATGATTGGCTGAAAAGACATCATTTGAGAAGAAATTTGTAAAAATGGACATGATCTATATTTTACTATTTAGATTACAACTGTGTCACAAAATGATCTAATCATCGTACATCATGCATTATTGTTATTACATCGTACAGAGAGCAAAATTATTGTACAAATACAATATTTATCGTACATCTGGCAACACAGTTGTCCCTGCTCCACCCCACCCAGCAGCCTGCATCTACTGCTGTATCCCCTTTTTCTGGTCCTGATATGGAACAGGCCACCTGGGTTGTGGGGGAGGGTTGCTAGGTTGAATAATGCTTGGTGGCACTGTTGGTGCCAGGTCAGCCGGAAAACAGATCTCTGCTGACTTTGTGCAGTTAGTGTAATGCAAAGACCGCACACCTGACCTTCCTGTAAGATCTATGCAGCTGGTTGCTTTGTAGAATAATCGCCTCCACACATACACACTTCTGCTCTTCAGGTGGGGACACTTTACTAGTTCAAACAGTAACGACCATGTGCGACCTCAGACCTCATCACAACTCTTGTGAATGAAACACATACCACAAGAGCAATTTGGACACATGATACATTCAATATTAATTAAAAATTAATAAACAGACAAACAGCTCCTTACCTTCAGTGGGGCGGACAGAGTTGAACATGTCCTCTGCTACGTCCTCAGATTAAGTAGTAGTGGTCGACAAAACTGGCCCCTCAGCAATAATCTCTGGTTTAAGATCATTTTGATAACTCGATTATTCTTATTTCACCACATCGGACTAACAGACATTCACGAGTATTGTGGTTGCTGAGTTCCACCCTGGCAACAACAGAGCTTTTGAAAATGTGAACTTGCGTCTGAACATTGTGTCAGTTGCTTAACAGACATTTGAAATAGCCAACATGCAATGTATGGATAAAAATAACAAAAGTACTTCAGTAAATCATTCTAACTTGTATATATACCACACATGTAAACAGTAATGAAGTAAATGCAGTTTCATTTTAAGATAAAAATTACTATATATTCTTTACTGCAGATTAACCAGGTAGGATGAATATCAAGTTTTTTCTAACTTCTAACTTCACTCTTTATAAGAAAGCTCTGCACACGCAGAATAGAGAAGTAACACAAAGAATAAAAAGTGACAGTATATTGTACAACTGTTTGAGAACAACTCACCAATGACCAGGATTCATTCTGAAGAGGCTCTGGAGCATTAACACAGTCCAAGAGAACAGACCATTCTAAACAGGCAGGTTTAGAACGGTCACTGCACAAGTTCCTTTAAATCTGATTCGAGGCAATCATGATAATATCTGACTATACGGCTAAGAGTTACTGCAGTGGTGTAACTTTTTATGAAACAACCTGAGTGACCTTGACAGTCAAATACGATTGCAAAAATGCAACTCTCTGTAATCACACATTTTCTCTTCAGCCCCAATCAGTTATCAAAATTACACATTGCTCCAGTGAGAGCATGAGGCTGATCCACTGTTAATCTGTGCTTCTCATTACAATTGTTTCGATTAGTCGCCAAGTATTCTGTCCTCATTGTCCCACAGCTGGTGTCATCAACTGTGTGTGTTTTATGTCTAAATCATTTTTTAATCTCTGCTTTTCCTTTTCTGTCCTGAAAAAAGGTAACAATAAACCAGAATTTTCCATTGGACCCATCTGTTTCAGACATGAACTGTGTCCTCTTCCCCCTGACTTAATCCACTGAGATGAAAGTGTATGTGTATGTATGTGTGTGTGTGTGTGTGTGTGTGTGTGTGTGTGTGTGCAGGATGCTAAAACATTGTTAATCTGGTTTCAGAGTGACTGGGGCATATAATCTCATTTACTCCTTCAATCCTTTCCCTCCCTCTTCATTGGGACTTGTATCCTTATAACAACACAGTTCAGTGCATTCAGCTATCCATAGAGCATAATCTTGACTCTTAAAAGGATTGATTGAGAGGAATGAGGTTAATTAAGGAGGTTAGGGGATAGTGGGTGCTGCTGTTTGAAGAGTTGCAGAAAAATCAGGCATGTGTGAAGTTGTTTCGCTGGCATTGTGTATGCACTAGTTGGAGCAGATTGCACAAAATTAAAAGTGAAATTAAATGAACTGGATGACCAGGCTCTGCAACTGAAATAAGGACATTTTAGTGCATGAATTTACTTTCACACTGAAGCAAGTAAAAACTGTGTCTGTAAGAGCCCCCTACAGAAGCCAAACTACTCGCCACCATTTACAGCTTTAGGGAGGTGGATGTAACCCATGCACTGTATCGGCCTGTGCTACAGCTCCCAGACCTGCAGTAAAACAGACAGAGAGTAAGTTATACTAATGACATGCATGGCAAATAGAAATGAGAAAGAGGGAAGTGACAATTTTACAAGAAATGGGAAATTAGGTGAAACCTAATAAAAACAATCATTCTTATTCTCTGATTCAATGATGTGATGAAAATAAAACACAATATTTCTAATCCACATTTAACTAAAATGCCACAGTAGGCCTATCAGTATTTTGGTAATTACTCTATGTTTGCATGAAGGGACTTAAACCACGATCATGCCTGTACAATAAATGTACAGGCATGTGTTAGCTTAGCTTAGAATAAATACTGGAAACAGCTTGTTCTGCCCAAACATTACAAAATCCAAGCCAAGAAACAGTCTGGCACATCATTCCCATGAGTTGAGGTGAGGGATGTTCTGGTTGTTGTAAACTATCATTAACATCACCGCTTTCTCAATCAATAATTTACATTCCCCTCTTTCTTTCTTTTTTGTCTAGCCCCACTGCTGCAGGAGGGTCTGTTTAATGTGTTTGAAGAGCCATATTTAATGTGTTTGCACTGCATGCCCTAGGTGACACAAATATGCTGCTGATGGGTGTAGGGGCTGTGGTGGCAGCATTCCATCATTTGATGATCATCACTACTTCTCAACTCAGTCCACTTAGCTAGTTAATGTTTTTTTTTCTTGGAGCAGCATTAAGATTTACTGTATGTGTGTCTATTCATCTCTGTTCATCCATCTACTGCATCTGTTGTAATGGGAATTTACTTAATAACTACTTAGTTTATGCTTACAGCAGACATTTCCATCTAAGGTACAGCTCAGCATGAACTTTATGCATATAGCATGTACATCCACTGTCCAGCATGTGACCCTATTGTCTAAACATGTGTTGCCAGAAGTTGATCCTGAGGTCACCTGAATCAATAGTGACCCTTTGCTGTACTCTGGTTGAATTCTGTTTATCTACTCAGCTGACTGACATTCTTACCACAGATAATAGTATTTCCTCTCCAACACAGAAATGATGCAATCTTCAGGGGCGTAACCCGAACAGAGACACTTAAATATGAGCACACCTCATTTTTTCCATCACACTCGCAACATCCACCCTTGCCTGTGTGATCCTTTCGGCAGAAAGCTTCAATAAAACTCACTCTGAGACCAAAGAAACATTCTTGGACTCGTTAATTGACAAATTTCCACCACACTGTCTTTTCTCTCCCTGTGCCTACGTGTACTCTGTAAATTTCAAATCATCCAATGACTTACGGCAGAGTGTAAATGGAGCTCACCAGTGAGGGGCTCTAGTATATGGTGTTTACACTGAATGTCTCATCCTCAGACATCTGGATATACAGCACTGCTCTCCCCAAGTGTCAGCGGGATAAGAATTAATTGCTACAACTGATACTCAAGTGTTAGAAGGAAGAGGGTATCAATATGGGAAAACTCAATAAGATTTCATGACAGGTTAATTTATTTTATTTTGTATATGGTAGAGTGTGTAAGATTTAGTGACATCTAGTCACTACTTCCCAAAATGAAAGAGAACCTATTCATCTTTCATAAAAACTCAAAAAGTGTTTAGTTTGTCCAGTTGCAGCCTTTGTAGAGAGGACCTGCTCCTGATGTGAATATGAAGTATTTAAATATAAAAGACCCATTCTAGGGTAAAAAAAAACAACAATTCTTACGATTTAGGTGAAAAACACTAGTGAAAAAATCACTTTTATCGTATACACTGAACCTTTAAGTATGTCATGTTTGTGAAAATCTTAACTATTTTAGAAAAGATGCAACATTAACATAACATTAGCTAAGTACATCAAAGGTTGTAGATAGTGTCTCAGTAAATGTTGGTTTTTGTCCTTGAATTTAAATTTAATCATCCAACTGGCACAGGAGAGCAGAGGCTTTTGATATCCAATAATCGCTGGGTTGTTTGGAGGGAAGCATTACCGTCACCACAAAATTAGTAGAGTGACCTGCAAGAAGACAGAAATTAAGGGTGAGGAACAAATCTTTGACAAAATAACATTTCAAATCTATTACATTGATTTGTGTTGAAAGAAACACAAAAGTCCCAACAATACTCCAAGACATCTATACTCTCAAAAAAGAAATAAGTCCCTGTCTGTTGAGTCAATATGAAATATTTCATATAAATTAAAAATGTAAAACTTCCTGAACTAAACCAGTATGTTTAGATGGGGAATGTACCGGTGGTGGACAGTGTCCCGGCTCTGGCGGAGGTCTTGTACAGAGGAGCTTGGTACAGGTTGGGGTCGGGCTCGTAGTTTTGCTGTGGCTCAAAGTGCACCACCGGCAGCATGGCGTTCATCACTCGAGGCAACGCATCCTCTATCACCATGTTGTCATCGTCCCAGCGACTGGAATCCATGTACATGCCGTGCACCAGAACGCCATTCTCTGGCTCAGGTAACTGTTGTGTCCACAAATGAGATGAGGCAGTGGTTAGTCAAAGGATTGTAAGAGAAAGGAGAGCACTACGACAACCCATCCAAATCATCCTTCTGTGTGATAGTAATACATGAGTCAACTATTTTTATTTCACTGTGCTTAGTGCTGATAAGGCAAAAAAGCTGAGAGGAAAAAATCTGGGTGAAATAGTTGATGCTCATGAACAAGAGGAATTAGTAAATTCTGTAGTGAGACTTCAGCTGAACTGTTCAATTACAAATACACCAGGAAATATTTAGCAATAATAATTGTGTTTACTTAATGTTGGTCTGCGTTGTTAATAGTACTTATCCTGCTAATATCCCAAAAGGTGATGAGCATCTTAAAGCATAACATTTTAAAATCAACATCTCTTCAAGTACCTCCTTATCCATATCCAGTTGAGCATTGCTGGGTAGAGTTTTGAGAGCTTCACAGACTGCTGCCTCGTCCCTGTACACTGGCACCATGTTAAAGCGGAAGCTGAGTTCATCAATGGGCAACTTGTAGTACCTTGCATGATTCTGCAGAATGCCTAGAGTGCAGAGGAGAACAAAAGCCACACATTACATCATATTCTTCATCAAGATCTTACAAATGATAAAAAGTGGCGACAAAGAACAAGCAGTTTAAAACTAATCATAATTATTGGTTACCGTGATTACAGTATATATCATAGGAGTTTTGTATTGTGCTTTACAGCTCTGGTTATTTAAAAACATGGAAGATATTTTGGTGTTGCAGTGTTTTACCAGTGAGAAAGCCTTGAGGGAAGAAGAATCCTGAGATCCAGAAAGATTTGGGCTGACCACATGTGATCCATGTCTAGTGGGAGAGGAGTCAAGAGAAAAAGAGAGAGGGAGAAATGTAAAGGTCTGTACTTTAAATAGCTAAACTTTTAATTAGTTAGTTTGGGTGTTAAACAAGCCATGGTGCATTCCAGCCAGCCTATCACTTATGGGACCTGAAAGTGACTCAGACTTGTGCTGGCAGAGTGAGAAACATCCTCTCTTCTGAGGTAGTGAACATGTGCAGTCTGACTCAGCAGCTACGCATCATCACTTTATGAACTAATGCAACGCTCCCCTGTTAGTCCCCTTTGTGTGTCATGTTTGTTAGAGAGGGTGAGAGTGAATTTTAGTGATTTTGCAACACACGTGTTCAAACCAGCCTTACGGAAGAACAGTTTTAGTCAGGGGAGATGAACCAAATGCTGAAAGAGGGAAGCAAGGGAGGGATACAGGGAGAGAGAGACTTTTTGTTGATGTATTATTAGTGTTTTTTTCTTACACACAAAATCATATTTACCCCCCAAAGTTATTTTAATATATTTGAATTATTTTAACCTACCTGTTTGCACAACGCAGTGTGAGCAAGTGGATTTTTCAACCAGACCATGCCATAAAGAAACAAGTGAATATCTGCTTCAAATACCTGGATGAAGGAAGTCCTGAGGGCCAGGTCCTTGACCCAGGACCCCAGGGTTTTGAGAGAAGGGTAGGACGAGTCTGCCCATTGGGTGGGGACCTGGTTATTCAGGAAGCTTGTGTAGATAAGGTCCATTTCTTCTGACATCACCACCAGACCTGCTATGGCCTTCTGCAGCGTGATAAGAGACACCTGGGCAACATAAACAGAATTACACATGAGAATATGACAAGAGCAAAACAGTGATGTTTGTTTTAAATAAATACATCATTTCTATTGGTTCAAAAGTATCTAATACCAACAGCTGCCAGAGAATAAACTCTGATCAAAGCAGTCTCCAGGCAGCACAGCATTAATGCAATGATCTTTACAATTTAAACATGTTTGTGTCATGTGGGTCACCCTGAGCACTCTCAGCAGGCTGTTGAATCGGTCTACTTCCTGCCCCAACACAGTTGTGAGGGAGTTAAGTCGGCCATTTTCGTCTCGTACAAACAGAGTTTCCACTGCTTCATCCATGTCCAGTTGCTCTGCACACACACACAGGATGGAAAACGCAGCATAAGAGATTAAGTTTATGACTATGCGCATTCTCAACAATGACCTAAATGCACATGGGTGTTTATTTGTGTGTGTGTTTTTACCAGGAAGCTTTGCTAGTATAGATTCAGCCAGCTCACAGACTATCTCATCACTACTTTTGGCTCCATGCAGAGAAGACGAGCGAGGATTAACATCCAGTATGGTGTTGATTAGACCCATGGTTTCTTGGCGCTGTGGGGACAAAGAGACAAACAAACACATTAACACCCACACATTGTGAAATCTTTTTTATTGATATTGTACCATTTCACTCTCATTGTATCCAAACAGAAATGCTTTTATAATTGGCAGTAAACTGTGCGAGGAGCTCCAGATTAAATCATAAAGATGAGATGATTAACTCATTATTTCAATAAAAACACAAAAGATTATGATAAAACAAAGTCAATTAGTTATCGATATGATTCTGTAATGACCATCAGACCAAAAGAAAGTTTAGTGCTGTTCCTCACCTGGAAGGCCAAGTTGGCATTCTCATGCATACCAAAGACCTCAGGATCATCCAGGATGGGAAGACCCTCAATATACTGCTTATACTGCGCCAGTTCCTCTGTCTCTGGGGCGTGGTAAATACCTTAACAAAGAAATCAAAAGAAAATATACAGTATGTGATCTCTATAACACATGGACTCACACACACTGTATTGAATTCCATTATATTGTATTAAACATATTGCGTAAAGCCTGACGTTGGAAACTACCTGAGGATGAGTAGGTGTAGCCGTGTTCCAGAGTTTGAGGGGAAAAGAAGCCTCGGAGGATGGTCCTGAGGCAGCGCTGGTCCCAGGCATCAGTCACTCTGCCCCCGTACGTGATCTCACCTGCGGACACGGACACAAATGTCACATGATGTTAACAAGCTGCATCATCTTTGCTGTGTAACTTTAAGAGGTAAACAAAGACTATCTCTAGTGACGGTCCCTTGGCCCATCTTTGTTTGTTCCTTACACAAACAGCTCATTCTTATGTTTTGTTCCCCTCTGCGTTGTATCTAGAGGGCGGAGTCTTGTTGATAGCCTTGGCAAGAAACAGCTGCAAACTATAAGAAATGGCCTTTTCTGGCCAGGACTCCCTCACACGGCTTTCCAGCTCATGAGTAATTTTGTGTTCACGCATCCAACATGTTTCTCAGTCTACACGCACTCTCACCACTGACTTTACTGATGAACACATCTCTTAGTATCTTCAGTTCATTCTAATTTTAGTTGTTATTTTAAAATAAACAACTCCCCATCTTCCTTCATCCTGCGTCTTCCTCACATTTTGTCAGTCTCAGCTTGACTTCAAGCCACAGTACCACACAATTAATTATTTAAAAATCAATTCGGATTCAGCGACATTTGGTCGAAAGCAAACTTTTTGAAGAAGACATGAAATGTTTATGACATCTGAATATGGATGAATAACTTTCACAATGTCAGGAGACAGCAAACCTGAAAAAAAAATCTAACAAACAATTAAGACTGAAGTGGTTACATTTACAATCTCACTGAGTAATTGATCTGTGACCCTTAAAAATATGGTGTTAACAGTAATATCTGCCTTTAGAATGTGGAGTCTTTAACTTATGTTTGACTTTTCCTCAAATTGTATTGTAGTATGTTTCCGAGAGATAAACAAGCTATGGTACGACACTGTCATCCTCAGGGCAATGGAAAATGCACGCTATGTCAAATACTAGTGTTGTGCTTTATATTCTATTTACTCTCATCAAAATATTATTAACAATATTGAACATTGTAACATAACATTTTTTGGTCAGACTTAATTTGGAATGATGATGGAATGATATGCATTAGCATTATTAACTACTCAATGGTTCACAAAGCAAAAGCTGCTTTCAGACAAGCACGGATATCCAGAGAATCTCCTGACGTTCTCCAGAGGAGATGTATGTGACAACGCAAATGAACGAGTGAGACTCCACAGAATGTCTGAATGAGCCAATGGAAGAAAACAGTTGGAGATAATAATAATAATTCAAATATCTCACGATATAAAAGTGGTGCCAGAACACACAGACGAAGATGGCAAGAGAGCTTTTGGCAATAAGAGCCGACGTCGGTGTTGATGTGCTGTAAACAAAATTTTATGAACTTAACTAATGCATTAGGTCCTGCCTCTACCTGCTGCACCACCCAGCACCTGAACGCTCTGGATATTTCTGTGTTTGAGTGGGAAATATCCTGCTGCCTAGTTCATACTGTATGTGAAAGACAAACTCCAGAGAGAGTCCGGATCCAATTGTGCAGACATTCTCGGCAATTCATGTCTGAAAACAGCTGTGTGTGTGTGTTGGGGGAGTAAATAAGTCACATAATCCAGAGAGTTCTACAGTGGTATTGGAAAGACCACATAGGAAATATTAGGCTGACAAACCAGACTAGGGTGGTTAAAGGACAGTTTAAACACTAAAATAACGGTGTGACTGCATTCACACATTTTCATGTCTCTCAAAGGACCAGCGGCTGGTTTAACATTTCAGAAGTGTTGCCTCCAGCTCCCTGGCACATTCCCGTCACAATGTCCAGCACAGACATTCAAACACGAGTGTACATATTAGGCAATGACATGAAGACAGAGATGAGGAAATGAACTGAGAAAAGACAAATGCCAGAGGAAGGCACAGCCTAAATTACTGAAGAGCAAGAGATCATTTTTAACAATTTAACACTTAAAATCTGTACTTATGTAAGATGTAAGGGAATTGAATCATCAAAGTGCAGGTAAAAAGCAGGCAGAGACTTTTTTTAACACTGGAAGAGAGTAACTGCTCCTTCTAAAAAGAGGAAAGGCAATATCATGCTTGGTTTGTGCCCGAATACTTCCCCTGGTAGAGTGTGTGTAGCTCACTGTTTGAATTAAGGATTAAACTAATAATGCAGTGGTGTGATAACAACAATGAGAGCTATCAATTTAATGTGATGTGCTCCACCAAGACTGGACGCAGCACAATATCATTTAGAGGTGTAATTGAAAACCAGATTTACAGGGAAACAAATGAACTTTAGAGACATGATAAGTATTGATAATGAAAGGAATCCCTCATCTTCTTTATAATAACTTTAAACACATCTGTTGTGGAAGCCCACGAAAAACAATATTAAACTAACATCAATTCAACTGACAATTTGTTCAGTCACACGTTTGAAATACACATTATAATTGCAATTGAGAATGAAAATAAGAGGAATAAGATGAGCTGGCAATATGATATCTGAACCTAAATGAAAATGAAATTGCAAAACTGCACAGACATGTTTCTATAAAAAAAAAACATGAAATGGAAACTTGAATTTCCATTATCATAGTGACAAGATATCTGCAAGGTTTATGACATTCATCAAAATCATTGGACAAGATATGTAATGTATTTTTACTGAAATGTGTCATAAACAAGTTCTAACGCCTGTCGACACTAATGGATATTTCTATTTTGAAAAAAACAAGCACTTCTCTGTGTTTGAGCCTTTTTTCCACACACAAACGTGTTTTTAAGATTTTGAAACATGTCTTCTCAAGTGAAGGTTTTTCAAGAACAGTTTCTGTGTATTCATGTGTACATGTTAAATGTTTGAGAAACGATAACGTCACAGCTTACTTCACATCTGCTTACTGTTGCGTTCTGTAATGAGCATGCAGCAGAAACAACAACAATGGCTGTATAGCAGTTTCTCTTCGTTTGATTAGCACTGCTAGGTCTAATTACAAGCAGCTAAAATTAGCATCACTGCACCACATTACCGACTTTCACAGGAGTCTGCCTCGACTAATATTATTTGGACCACAGCGTTCCTCTGTGGCTTTTGACGGATCATTGATGTGCTCTCTATTGCATCCGCCGGTCATCACTAACATCTGTTTACATCAATATAAACTGCTGGTAGGTATTTTAATTAGTGTGGTAGAACAAGGGATATTCTCCATCTTTTCCTATGTTCTAAAAATGGGACAGCTTTTGACTCTGCTGCCTGTGACAGTAGGTTATCAGTTTAAAAAGGCATTGAGGTAATGATGTCTGATATACTGAGTGGGCCACATGGCTTTCATAGTACTGCCATACAAACCAGTAGGCAGTCAGATTTATCTTCAGCCTCAGCGTACCCTCAAATTCGGCCTGTATCACTGATTACAAGGCCAACTGAAGCAATGTCCCTAACATCTGCTGGTGGTCACTAACACCCACTAACCTCTACTGGCAGTTGGTAACTTAATTTGTGCAGAACACCTTCAAACGTACAATGGATATTCACCATCTAGTCCTATATTCTAAAAAATACCACCTACTAGCCTGGCCTGCTTGTTTGTGGCTTAATGGGTTGTAATAGTTCTGGTCTGCACAGAGATATTTAGGAAAACAAAGGTTCTGAGAATTTTTTTTAAATGGAGAGGAAAGTTTCGTTTAAAAAAATATCTGCTGTGTTGTTGACAAGGTCTATAAGCACTGCAGTAAATCACTTCTTCATGAAGGCTATGTTTAGTTTTTGGACACCTCCATGTACCATGACAAACTATTCCATATTACATGACTTCAGTAGCACAACGGTTCAATTTCTTTATCTGCTGTGTGTTTTGGGAACATCTGTTCATTTCATTTAATTTCCATAAAGCTACAGTCAAGAGGAACAGAGCAGCCACAGTCCACAGCTGCAGAACAGAGTGAAATCGTGTTAGAGAACTGTCCTGCTATGTGAAATCAGCAAATATTTGGCTTTCCCCCATTTCACTTGGTGCTGAATGTGTGTGTTGTTGACAAAACTACAGTGTGCTGTTTGTGCAACACACACAAACACAGCAGACAGGCTAGCAAACATGGTGATAAAAAGAGACATTCACACTTTCTGCCCTGGTTAACGCCAAACCATCTCAGGTCTCATGTACTGTTTTGCATTTTGCACTTTCTGATGTTGTATTTCCAAAGTGCGCTCACACACACACACACGCGCACACGCGCACACGCACACTTGAGTGTAAGCTTTCCTACCGGTAATGTAGATGAGAGCTTCCCATGGGATGGTGTTATCTTTGCAGTAGAGGTTGAGGTTGAGAAGAGCACACTCCCTGTCGCTGTCATTAAACTCATAGCGGATGTTCCAGCCCAGAGGGCCAAACTTCTTTCTCTCCTAAGACACACACAGACGAGACACATGAAGAGCGACAAGCAGACAGGATGCAAACAGGTAATACAGCGTGTAACAAGTCAGTGAAATACATCCATGCGTACAAAGCAATTATTATGTGTTAGGCTGTATGTTACCTGGATGATTGCATGGAAAAAGCAGATCCCAAAGACAATCTTCCTCCACTGTCGTCCCAGAACGTGGTTCTCAAAGGAATTGCTGGAGATCTCTGTGAAGGCCCGTCGCATGTTTGCTCGCAGGCCTTTGGGAGGCTCATTGGTCACCTGGGAACAAGAAAAGCACAAACACACAGGGTTAATGATGCTAAAGAAAGAGGAGTCCTGCTCAGACTGAGAAAAAACCTGGGATGAGGCTTTTCCTTCATGAAGTCTGTACATTTTCCCTCATAGAAACATGTGTACTATTCCCACTCAGATCTGTTTTCTTGCCAACTCTGAACTCTGGATAGTCAACTGTCATGTAAAGTCAGACAAAACCTGATCCCGGTGGATCTGCAAACACAAGTCAAATCCCACTCTACATCAATTATATTATAAGATGGTAATTAGTGAAAGAACTGTAAGTAATTAATTAATATGTAATTGATATTATCAACGATTACATGACTCATATGCTGTGTCCCAATTCAGGGCCCCCCTCCATTAGAGACTGCATTTGAATGCTGATTATGTCACAGAGGAGAGGCTGTCCTATTTGAAGGTTCCTTCAAACGCAGCTGACAAATGTTTCCAATCATCCCTGAGCAACGAAGGTTCCTTTCCAGGCCAACCTGTCCCAGGATTCATTACACTTAGGTGAAGAATTGCTTTCCAAAGAGATAAGGCAAGTGAAGAGAGCAAAACATCTGATTCTTGCACTTTTAAATTTAAGTATCAGGATTCAACTCAACAGCTAATGGTACACATCTTAAAAAAACAAGGGGCATTAGAACTTTTTTGTCCTGTTCAATGCAGCTCTGTTGCCAGGCGATTGGGTTAAAGGCCGTTAAAATTGGTGACGCAAATCAACTTAAAGGTTCCCACATGACTGATGACAATAATAAAGAAGAGTCAAGGAATTTCAAACACATCGAGACAACAGCACCACTTTACTTCTAATGGCTTGTGCTGCACCACTACTATTTGTTGCTGGATTGAGTACGCATTTCTTGTGCAGCTTTAATGTGCTGCACACAGACACTGAAATCAGCAGAGAGGTTCTACATAGCGTGTGTGTGTGCGTGTGTTTACCTTGACAGAGTTCTGAAGCACCGTAACAGGAAACACTTTGGTCGGCATGGAACTGAGAAACAAACGGAAATCCTCGTGTATCGTTGTATCTGCACAAGAACAGAGAGGAACTTTATTCACAGCCATACACAAAGAAAAAAATTACTTTATGGTTTACTCTATGAAAAGCACACATTTAAGTATTTCACCTTGCTACAAATTCAGTTAAAAACCATAAAAACATCAGTTATAGAGTCAATAGTGCCCCAACAAGCTCTGTTATGTTAAGTGTACAATGCAGAGTATTCTCCTTTATGTTCGTTTGAATTTATCACATTTTTTTCCATGTTGAAGTGAGCTGGGCTCTCAGTCACCACACATTCTCTTTCCGATTGCTTCTTTTTTTATACCTTGCAAAGTTGCACATGCCACACATCCGGGATGTAATTAAAGGTCCAGTGTGTAAGATTTAGGTGAAAGGGAACTATTGGCAGAAATTTTATGTAGAATAATCCTCATGATGTTTTTACTAGTTTGTTTCATCTAAATTGTATGAATTGTAGTTTTCTTAACCGCAGAAAAGGCCCTTTATATTCAAATACTTTATATTTACATAGAGGGGGTCCTCTCTACGGAGGCCGGCATGTTTTTTACATTAGTCCAGACTGGACAAACTAAACACCTTTTGAGTTTTTATGACAACTGAAGGCTACCACAGTTTCTTTTTCATGTTTGGAAGGGGAGAGTGAAGTGAGGGGTATTCAGCTGCAACATGCAACTTCACATCTAGATATCACTAAATTCTACACACTGTACCTTTAAGAGGCTGTAGACAGTTATTTGTCAACCTGTCAAGCATGGAACTTAACCCAATGGCTTTTTCTTGCTTAGTGTACTTTTCTTGTATATCTCCAAACTAAAATACACATCATGAAGAGTCAAATATAATGGCATGTTTTAGGGCAGTATATAATAATATCAAATGTAAGTCATTAATATTACTTTGTTCATTGGAATTTGTTGTTAATAAGTAAACCACTGGTGTGATCATGATTTAGCTTCATTAAAATGTATCCTTTGAGTTACTACTAGGATCTCGTAGCTGTCGCCTTTGATTTTGGGACTCCAGAGTAATTTTGTTTTACGTTTCATTTCATATTTAAAAATTCAGGATGGGTATGGTGCTACTTTACCCCTGCTTAATGACATATTTTCAAAGATTATTCTTAATTTGGCAGTTAATGTGCATGGAAGTTGCAAAACTAAAATGGATTGATTTTTTAATCCATTCTTTTCAGGGGCAACAGTAGAAAATATAATGAATAATGAGACGCATTTGAAAATGTCCTGATGGTCAGACCTATGTGTTCATGCATGCATGTAAGTGTTTCTATGCTAATGTTACCACACCAGGCTCAGTGAAGGTCTTGATGAGCTCCTCCATGGCTAACATCCAGGATACAGCCAGATGGCAGTTCTGCAGAAAGACCCACTTGCCACTTTTCATGGCCTGAAGGATCATCTGCTCAGCTATAGGCCCCTGGCCCTGGCCCAATGAGATGGATTCAACTCTGATGGACAGGGAAATACCAATGTAATTACCTATACAGAACTAATACACATGATCTTGGTAAAAACAACAGCTGGCAGTCAGCTGTTGACGGTTATCAGAGCGGTGCAACATTACATAAGTGAGGAATTGGTGTGGCGTTCAAAAAAATCATAAAGAAAAGAATTGTGATCCTTGAATTATTTTTTTTGCCCTACCCATCATCATATGATAATCAGTTTAAATCATCTTTTACACCTTTATTTTTAATGAATCAATTGACTTCAGTCAAGTTAAAAGTTTGAGAGAAATATCAATTCTATTTAAGCTCATTTGATTTGGCTCTTAATACAATCTACATGGTTTAAAATGTATCCATAGTTCCACTTCAGCTCCCTCCATTTATTTGTCTATAACTATTTGTCTTACCTGTCGATACATCCTCTCTCTTTTGCAAAACGCTGGAAGGCACCCATAGGGTCAGATCCTGTGCTAAGAATGAAGACCAGTGGGGTGGAGGGGGACAAGTTGTTGTAAAGATTGGCCAGGTCAAGTGGAGGGTTTTCCACAAACTGCTTGCCCAGGCTGACAATCACAAACTCAGTTGCAGCAAACACCACCTGGGAAAAGGAGAAAGAAAATATTGTGAGATAAAGAGAGTGTGACAAAAGAAATGGTTAAAAAAAAATGTCACTGTCCGAAATCAATCAAGTAAAAAAAGGATTAGAGATGAATAAGCAAATTTGAGACAGTATACTCCAGAGGAGAGGCGAACACTGACATTACGGGGACATAATCAAATATAATAGATAAACAAGTCATTTTTATCAAAAAGTGGGCAGAACATGACTGCAGCAATGGAAGGCTTCATTTACTAAGATCCAGTTTCTGACATGTCTGGTTTACAAAACAGAATGTTTTGGCAGGGTCTTGCTAAGGGCTGTGCAATAAGCACAATCTTTGCCGAGTTTAAAAGTAAAAGTTACATTAAATCACATCTTGAAAAAAAAACTTTCTATATGCTCACCTTCTCTTCCATGAGGCTCTTGATAAGGACAAGCTTCTGGAAGGCTCCCAACCTCTCGTTCCAGTAACCTCTGATGCCACCCTTCTTCACCTCTTTGGACTCCTCAAGCGGGGGCAAGTCTGACACATAGTCTCTCCAGGTCTCTGGATTAATAGATGCTTGACAACGTCCTAAAGGATGGGACTTTCATTTAATGCCACATAAATCTTTATGGGTGAATTTTTTAAACCTTAATCGTAGTGTACGTACAGATTTTTACACTATCTGATGAAGGAATGGTAGAATAATAATAAAAAGAGCTAAGCTGTATCTAGGTCAATCATTCCTGTTCTAGTATTTTGCATAAACACCATGCAGTACATATATTGTGTTGCATACCTAGCTTGATGTCGATATGGGTTCGGGTGATTTCCTTCGAGATGTCCTTGAAGCAAGGCAATGTGTTGTCCAGCTCGCAACATGTCTGCCAGTAAAAATCACTTAGCCATGGCACATCTGGCTGCTCTGCATTGTCCTGGAAGATGGGTAAATATAAAAAGACACAATTAGAACAATAAAGGAGGGAGATGTGGACAGTTGAAGGACAGACCTTGAGGTAGAGGCAGTAAAGAAGAATTAAAGGACGTCAATAAAAGAGTAAAGAGAATAAGATTGAAAAGCTAGACATTACAGAGAGGTGGTGGCATAGACGTGCAAAAACAAATTTGAAAAGCACTAAAAACTTGCAATAGAAGTTTACGTGATGGATGTCATGAAGCTGTGATGCAAAAGGCAGGAGACAGAAACACAGAGGTGAAGGAAAAAGAAGGAAGGACGGCATTAGCATGAGGATAATGGCGGCTGACAGGCAGCACCTCCAGCCTAAGTAATGCCATATAAATGAGACAAAATGGTGGATGAAAAAAGCAACACACCCCTGGATGGCATTGACTGATCTGTCCTGTGGTCTCAAAACCATCTGAACCAGAAATAAATCTCAAAGGTCTTTTTATTCATAGCTCCACTCAACCTTTCCCCTTATGTATTGCCCAAACCGATGAGGCCTTGGCTGCACACTCTGCCCCAATGGGGTTTGAAAGAGAAGATGCGTTTTTATAGAGAAATGTAATATAGAGAGAGACGGGAAAGAGAGAGGGAAATACGCAAACCATTGAGATCCAGAGGCTTAAAAAATTATTGGAATTACTTTGCGTTATAAATGCTTTGTTTTGTTTTTAAGAACTGTTTTTGTGTCCTTCCGGGTGGTCTCTTTGAGCTGAATGCCTGTGCGGCTTATAAGTGTGAACAAAACAAACAAAAAGCTGTTATGTGTCATTACTGGCAACATCACAAGCAACTGTCAAGAAAAAAATTGGGATGTGGAATGTTGCATTTTCAAAAAGAAACATACAGAGTTTCTGTCTGCCGAGTTTGTGGGATTAGTCATGAAAAAGACCAATCTCGAGCATCATTAAAGATAAAAACACGCAGCTAAACTGGATGAGCTGCAAAGACAAATGTCCTTAGATACAATTAACGCTCTTCAGTGGAGTATGTGTCCAGAAAGCAGCTTTCAAAAGACCACATCCTGACAGACACAGTGTTATGCCGGCAAGTCTTGTGGTGAGGAGCTGAGAAACTGAAACCTCATTCAGAAGGAGGATTTGTGAAGGAGCCTTTGTTGCTGCCGGGGAACTGCTAAAGACCAGACGAAGTCAAATTGTTCCCAAGTGTCAGTTTGTTTCGAGACTAGCTGCAGACTGGATTACTGATACGGCACAAGATATTGCAAAAACACTTTGGGACAAGAGGAGAAATGTTGTCGCCCATAATGAAACAACTGACTTAACAAATACTGACATTTTCATGCCTGGGATTACTGCCACGTGTGATGCAGGGAGGAATTGTTGTTTTTGAATGCCATGCTTGGTGTAAGTGCAACTGGAACGGGGTTAACGCTGCATTTTCCTACTCTGCAAGAACAAATTGCTATTACATCTAAAATACTTACTTACATGAAACTCCTTCAGGCATTCGGTGAAAGGTTTCGGGACATGAAAAGTAAACTAAAGCAACGAAAGGAGCTGAACATTTATCTTTATAAATTATATGTACATCCTAAGGATTTTCTCTGCGCTGATGGGAAAAAATAGTGCAGTTGCAAAGACTTTGTTCTCCCCATGATTAACTATCCAAAATCTGGAAAACAAGCTGCAGTATCATCATCCCTACCACTCAAGATCTGACGCCTCACCACAGAAAAGCAGCTCCAACTATCAATAGAGGGGTAACTGTTATGTATGTGTTCAATAATTTAGTGTGGCCCTCAAAGGATGTTGTCAAAATTGAAATTGCCGAAGTAGCCAACAGTCACTCTAACAGAGCTTCAGAAGTCCTGCGGGAACGACAACCATCTCACTAGCACTCCGTCAATCAGGCCCTTTTGTAAGAGTGGCTAGAATGAAGCCACTTTGAAGTAAAAGGCATTCAGCTGCCCGCTTCCAAACAGCATGGAAAGGACCCTGAAAGGCTAAGGGAAAAACCCTCGGGTCTAATGACACAAAAAAAACGTTTCGAGCAGAACTCTGAACACCAGGCACTGCTCATATGGTGAAGCATGGTGCTGGTAGCATTATGTAGTGGTGGGGCTTGTTACTGGCAGGGACGGGGACACCACAAAGAACTGAAGGAAGCATAAACCTGCTCCAAAGTGAAAGTAACCTGAGGCTGTCTGTGAGGCACAACATCTCAGCATGACAATGAGCTGACGCACACAGCTAAGACAATGCTGCGTGTGGTTTCACTGACTGTCCTCGAGTCGCCCAGCTAAACACAGATATTCTCCATTTCTTATCTCTCGAACACAGAAATATTTATTTTGTCAACCTCTCCATAGAAAGACTTTGTCATTGGTTCTTTTGTCTCTCTTCTACTGTCTGTGTTTTTCATCAGTCTCTAGTTCCTCAGCAATAAGCAAAGAGAGGGCTACAGCCTAACTGTGACAAAGGACTTTTTTTCCCCCAACACAATCCTGACACGTGAGGGGGCGAGAATGAAGATATTGCCTAGAAGCCAACCCGGGGGATTTTTGAAGAGAAAAATTAATCTGCACCTTGTATATTTATAGCTAAAAGGATCCAGACAAAAAACTGTGACAAAATTCACAAATTTGGAACTCATGACAGTTGAAAATGGCTCGTTATCTCTCTGCTCCTTCCGGCAATTAAGCCTCATGTCTTATGATTCGTTCTGGCTTCAGTGGTCAAATCTCCTTATTACAAGTCAGCCAATCTGGTACTGTATATTCAAACTCTTTTGCACCATGTCGCTCAAACTGCAGCTTAGTTTATCGGACATCACCTAGCAAAACCTGATTTCATATTATAAATGAACAACAATACAGTCTAGAGTGATAATACTAATAATATAATATTAACTATCATATTATTTTATGATTACTTCCCTTTGTTGTGGCACAATGTCTAACTCACACCAGAAAATCATTAAATGCATCTAAATCAGTCTCCTATCCATCATCAAGCAACAAAAGAAGAAGGAAAACTAGTTACGAAAACCTGCTGGTAAAAAAAGTGTGATGTTAGATGATATTGGTCGAACACAAGACAATAATAAGCCAAAGATAACTTTGACCAGTGAACAAAAATTAGGTGCAATGCAAATTCTGTCAAGAAAAGCTAACATGAGACTGAATGGGTTGGTCTTTGCTCTGTTTTTGCGTGTGTGTGTGCGAGAGTGTGTGCAGGAAGGTGGGGAGCGTGGTTCGAATTAAGTTCCCAGTGGATGTCACTGACAGATGACATCCATTTTCAGTTATGATGACAGTGACACACATGATCATGCACAGTCAGGGTTGAGCTCCACAGGCTTTTGAAAAAATGTGGCAGCAAATAAAATTTTATGCTGCGTTCATCTGAGACAAGAATTGTCACTGACACCACTTGTACTTGTAGCAGAAAATGGTACCAGTACCAGTTACTGTTACGATTTTAACTTCAACAGACTTGTTTTTCCAAACAAGAAAAATAAGTTGATGTAATGACTTATTACTAATTATGAATAGATTTATGTGATTAATAACTTCATCAAAGTATAAACAAAGTGATTGATAAATTACGGTCAATTATTTATCCATGAACACTGCTCATTTCTCATGTTAACATTAGACAAATGTTAACAATCTGTCAGCCTGAACCCTTTTGATTTCACAACTCACCGTTTCCAAGGAAGCAGGTCCTTTCAGGAAGTGTTGCCATTCCCCATCAGAAATCTCCCCACGCTGCCTCATGATCTCCACACACAGCATGAAGCTGTAGATGAGCTTGTGTTGCTCGAAGAGGCCACGCGACACATTGATGTAGGAGTTTAGCAAGATCTGGTCCAGCAGGATCTGCAGACGCTTGTCTAAATCTTTGCTTTTCTCTGATGTCTCAATTGTGGAGTTAAATAGCTAGGAATAAAATAAATAAATAAAGGTAAGTGAATTGGACAGTGAGATATGCACCATGAAGAAAATAATCATGTTACATGGATACTTGAAGCACCTACATTGTGTACCTGAAAAAAGCTTACAAATGACTTATATGTATATTTGACTGTGGGTTGGGAAATAAACTAAACAATACCTGTTTGAAGTACTTCAGCGAAAACTGGTACATTGGGTCGATCTCTGAGAGACCGGCAACGACAAAGTACAGGACGGAGCCTCTGGTTGCCACTGGTCGATAGCGCTCCCTTGCCGAGTTGATCCTCATCTCAGTAGCTTCTGCCTCCTCCAGACGTTGCTTTATGGTCTCAGATGTCACCTGATATAGAGTGGAAACAGGGAGGAATATACCATATTAAAGAAAAAGAAACAAAAAGGACACATAGAGAGGAAAGACAGTAAAAAATACTACAACAAAAAACAGGACAATAGGTAAATAACACGGGTGTCAGGACTCTCTATATCCACTAGTTGGTCTAAGGGTTGTTTTTTTTTTTCTTTTTGGACCAAAATAGTCATGTCACAAATGAGGTTTGCTGTAATGTGTAATATTTACAAAATACACAGCTTGCTTTAACTTTTGATTGAATACTATATCTTTGTGATTCACTTGTGTTATAGTGAATTTTCCTACATTGTTAAAATAATGAGAGCTCAATCGGCTGCATCTGCAGCTATGGTATTATACAAGGTTGTGGATGTCTGTATCGTCATCTCAATCTCATTTAACAAGGAACATTCTAACAAGGTGGAAATCATAATTGTAGATGAGGACAGATTATGTCATATGAATCATCATCAATCTTAATAAATTCATTACTAATAACAGACCAAGACAGGCATCCTAATTTCCTTTGCCTTCTTCGCCAGATTTACCTTTGACTCCTGGAGAGTCTCAACAAGCTCCTCATTATCTAGGATATTCCCCTCGGAGGTGAAGAGAAGCTTAAGGATGCGGTCTTCGATGTCTTTCAGCTGATTGCGGTCAGCGTTGATGCGCACAATCAACTTGTTCCTCTGTTCCTCAAGATGTGGACTTTCCAGTTGTACCACATCACTGGGGAGAGGAAGAGGGGTTGCAAGGAGATTGGGAAGAGAAAATATGTTAGCATGATTTAAGTATAATTGCAGGGTACAAATACTTGCACTGAGGTTTATATAGTTTTTATATACAGTAGTAATGGTTTGAATGGCAGTATGGTTTGGATGTGATGCAATATCTGTTTTCCATGTGTGTCTTTGTACCTGAGCAGTTGGTCTTCCAAGCCAGACTTGGTCACAGTGAAATTGATGATTGTAACTTTGATACACACCTGAAGTGTAACAGAAATAATCATACATACAAGTTCAACACTAAACAGGATGCATTTACAGTTTGAATGAGAGTCGTTCATTCATACAGCTACAATTCAGCATGTGCAATAAAGACGTATTCAACACCTTTAACTCCCATATGGGATTTAAATGCTGTGTCACTTTGAACACTTTGTGCATTTGACAGTTGATATTCAACATAAAGGATTTACAGATAAGTGCTAAATACTTTTATGTTGTCTGTTGTTGCTTTCATGCAGCTCTGGTTTGAATTAACATTGAAGCATAAGCTCATATTCACAGGGTGCTGCTCTCCTGGGCTGTGTTGAATAAAAGGTAACAACCCAGTGGGAAATCTAGCTGGGGACTACATTCTTTGACAATGTCTGCATAAATCTGAGCATAGCTCGGTGATACTCAGTGTACTGGCTGATACGGTGCTACCCTCGCAGAGGGGTATTAATGTTCTTGTGTGCATGTATACTTTTTCTCAAAGACAAATGACATGATATTGATTGATCAATTTTCTTATACCAGATGAACCCAATCATCAGCTTTAAAGGAGATTGTTTGCTGCTCTTACCTCTGGTAGGTAGTGTGGGTTGGCCATCTTAGTGGTCATATAGAACCTGAAGTTTTTGTCATAGTCAATATCTGAGTCTCCAAGTCTGATCAATGTCCGTCCACCAGCCACAAATGTTTGCTTCAGCAGGATGGGCTCCAGTGCTGGATCCAGTGTCTCCTTTAACTATCATAGTACAGGAATACAATGATATGCATAAGTATCTAATCAAGGTCATATGAACTACAGCTAAATCAATTAACCTGTAATTTACCATGAAAACAATTTTTATGATTAAGCATATTTATCCATGGCTTGGCTAGAGTGTCCCTACCTCCTCTAATAGTACAGGCATGCCCATGCGAATGGCGTTCTCCAAGGTACGTAGGAAGTTTGGGTCTGTCAACTTGATCACCTTTAGACCATTCTTAGCTTCCTTGGAGCGGATCCATCTGTTGGCCTGAGTTAAAAAGAAATAAAATGTATCTACTGTGATCATTTCCTCTCTGTATTTTTTGTGCATTATAAAAATGAAAGGGAACAAGGGACAGAGGAGAAAAACTCGAACAGGAGAAACCATACGACTTTCACAGTTGTCAGGACAAAGAGGCCTAAAATATGAAGCTGTGACAGTATTCCTATCCTGTACATGTTTGTGTGTCTGAATGAGCTCAGCTGGTTTGAGTCATTTAATGTGGGGAGATTGTGTGTGTGTTTCCTGGGGACAGGGGCCTGTCTGTGCATGATCGTGTCTGACAGTAAGGTCTATTTTGAGAGGTTCCTGCTCTTCGCACTGGTACAGCAATTTTATAACCCAAAATGTTTTTAAATGTTTAAAAATGCCCCTAAAATGGCACAATGTGGGGCACTTTGGGTGAAATAGGTGAATGAACATTCGAAATGTAAAATAATGAAGTGATTAACAACCAATCACTCCTGAAGACAGTGAACAAGAGCTGCCTTGGTCATAGTTTCCAGCTCACCTGATCCTGAGGATCGATCATAAGAGGCCAGCGGCGGCCCTCGGCCACCAAGATCCCGTTCTCTGTTGAGACATTGTCACGAGGTAGGCCTTCTGTGTTCCACTGGCGGATGACAAACGGGTCGCCCAAGATGTTGATCAGGCTGAAGTTGGAACTGATAGGGATGTTCAGCTCCTGGCACTGTTTTATCCACTGGTCAATTAGCTGGGGAAAGGGAGTATTCTGAAGTTGCTTTTATTTTATGTAAATTTCACAATTTCTACCTTTTTAAAAGTTAACTCTACTTCCTTGTTTTAACATCCTACATCCAAGTTCAGTTCAATGTCAATGCTGTAATAAGAACTGCATCTCACAAAAGAACATTAATGAGGCATGAGCTCAGTTTGTTCCTTATGGAGGTGTGGGACTGGATCCACCACTTATCCATACCCTTTACCACGGTAGCCCTAAAAGCTCTCAGCCAACTGTACCTACCAGTTGTCTGTAGTGTGAAGTGAATGCTCCGAAATACGCGACACAGGCAGCTGCGATGAAGACGTTTCCCACAACGTTGATGATCTCTTGTTCAAACAGAGCAACACTTTCTTCCCAGCGCACCTGCTCATCACCTAGAGCTGAAGTGAGCTTCCCTGCCCTCGTCAACCGAGCCTTTGTCAGAGCCATGGTGTTCACTTTCGAGAAAGGGTTACAGAAGGAATAATTACAAATAGGTAAATGCGGCTTTAGTTGTCTCCCTGTTGATATCATCCACCTTAAGAGATTTCCCCACAGCAGTGATCATTTCTTTTTAAATTTGAAACTGATTTTAAAGTAGAAACATAAAGGGTGCAGCTCTAACCAAGTTCCTCCTTCTCATTCACGCTGCTGTCAAACTGCTCCTGCAGAACCTTGATCTGCTTCTCCACCTCCTGAAGCTTTTCTTGTTTCTCCTTCAGGGTCGCCATGGTCATATCCAGTTCTTTCTAAATGGTTTAGGGTAGAAAGAGAGGAATATGGAAGGAAAAAACATGAATTACTCATTTGGACAATATATATACCATAAATTACCAAATAACAGCCGGGGTGTTTATTTGTTTCAATCACTTAACAGACCAGGCATATATTTGGGACCAGCGGTTATTTATCAAAATATACACCTGCACCCGGCGTTTAAAGGGGACCCTGCGGTTAATGGAAACCTGGCTATTATTTGGTAATTTACGGTATATATGTATATGTGTGTTTTCTATGACAGAAAATTTGACAGAGAGCAAAAGGAGGGAGGTACTGTAAAAACAATAAGAATATAGAATATATATACATATGTGTGTGTGTGTTATGTGATATAACAGATTATGATACTGCACTCTTACTGACCTGTGCCAGGGCCAGTTTTTGTCTCTTGGGGCCGACTTCTTTCAGCACTCTGCTGTAAAGGTTCATGGCTCTGACCCACATGCACATGGATTTGCAGGCTCTGGACACCTTCTCCACCTAACAGCAGCAAAACAACCAGGAATTACACAAAGCAACATTAACTGAAACTAACTGTATCATGTTTAATAATTTAAAGCCAGTTTATGAAATCACAACACTTGCATAAAACCTAAATCAGTGGCCTGTGTATAATAATATCATTATCAAAATTGAAGCAGTAATTATAAATCTGGCTGCATTCCAAACGAAATATTTTTTTAAAACAGCTGAGATCTTGGAACTCCAATTTCCCTAGAATTCTCAAATAAATTCTTCCTTCAAATCCTTCTATCAGTATTTTTGAAACGAAAACCAAACAGACCTTCTCAGGTATGAAATCCGCGTTGTTGATGTATTTTTGCAGTTTCTGCAGGATCTGAGGCTTGATATTGTCCTTGTCATAGTCAGCAAGACGTCTGAGGAAATTGGGATCTCCCAGTACTTGCTTGGCACTGGGCCAGTCTGGTCTGTAAGGATAAGATAAAGTGAGGTGTGAGACGAAGATTTTTATTTTTGTAACTTTTCATAGTATCAGCACTAAGTTAAATATCTACACAGCATCAGTGTGATGTGGGAGAACAGCTGGTGAAAGTTTCAAGTAGATGGGATATTGGACAGGGTTGGATTTAGTGCAGCATATTAACGACTGAGGACACTTTAGGGTTGACACAGGGACAAGTTCCCAGACGGGTACTGTAATCACCATGAATGCTGACTACAAAGATATGGGATTAAAAATAGGCCCAAATCTCACACAGTTTGCAGAGACACTATAAAGCAACAACAATGATGATGATTCTTTTTGAAAAGACTGAAATGATTATTATGCAGAACATTTTAGCGTAATCATTATCAACCTCCTGCATCAAAGATGTAATAATGTAGCAGGGATTATCAGGAATATGACGATGAGTCATCATGGTAAACGAATTGAGATAAGGATTCCTGGTGAGTATCTTTTTTTCTAACATCGATTAAAAACATCTTCCTGTTTGGTATTCATTCATCCTATGACCTTCGTAAACAACTGGTATTTAATCTTGATCCCACAGAACAAGACACTGGCTGCAGATGACCATTTACCATTGGTGTTAAATTAAGTTATAATTACTTTTGCTAAATAAATGGAACACATCATATTTAGAATAAATATTATATTTCATTAAAACCCTAAATGTATGGTTTGTTCTCCTCCTCCTCTAAATTCCTCATGATAATTTCCTTCTAAATAATATAAAATAGGGTGTCACATAATGAGGTGAAGTTTTAGAGAAGGGGACTTTTGAAATAAGAGAGGCAGAGATACAACTCTTGTCAAAAGTCTTTGATGAAGAAAGGTTTTGTGTTTTTAGAAACAGAGAGAGGCATACTGACTTGCAGTGGAGCAGGATGCAGACAGCCTCCATGACAGTCATGACAAGGTCTGGGGGTTTGGAGAAAACTTTGATCTCAGAGATGTCAGCCTTGTCGAGGGAATTCAGAGCCTGAGAGGCACCCTCCAGGGCTGGCAGAGCCTCATCCAGGTCCCTCTGGGCATCATCGGCTATGGCCTGTGTGTCTTCAGCTTTGACTGTGGCTAAGGCCTCATCTTCTTTCACTACTTTACGCACCTGTGGTGAAGATATTTTTTGTATTATACACAAAGAATACAACTAATGGGAAATGGGTATCAGGCTTTCTCAGCATATTATCGCATCTTAAGTTTCAAAAATCAGAGATAATACAGCATTATCTTGGTCTCATTGACAAACACAAACCTCGTCAGCGCTCTCCTGGTCAACAGCCAGTTTCTCCATGAGGGCATCAACATCAATGGACTTTTGTTTCAGGACTGGCTCCAGAGCCGACAGGTCCATTTTCATTTTGTCCACCAGCTCATTGGTCTGCAGCAGTTTGGTCAGACCGTTCTTCACCCGGTCCCTGGCCTATTCCCAAACAGACCCAAAAATATATTACTGTATCATGGTTATGGCCACGGAGAAGATTACTGATAATAACTTCCAACAACAACTAAAACTAATCACTGAAAATTAATTGTGCATATTAATGGTTAAACATACAAGCACTATCTGCTCTCTCTTCTCATTGAGCATGCCCAGGTAGAGGTTGATGAGCTCCAGGTAGGAGGTGGGTGTGGTGTAGTATCTGCGCCTCAGCTCTGAGTAGAAGCGCTCAGCCATGTCTGTGACGCTAACATGTATCTCCACACACATGGCTGAAAAACTCTGCTTCAGCTCCTCACTGCCAAAGTCCACATTCTGGAAGAAGGCCTGAGAGACAGAGAGCAGTGCCTCACGAGGCCACTGAGCACAAGATGGCACAAGAGGAAGGAGAACATGGTGAGATGAGGTTTGCAGCAAGAGCATTAAATGTGGCATTTGCTTTATCTCTTATTTGAATATTTCACAGAGCAGCAATAAAAGACATTAAAATGCAATAATAGAGAAATTCAATGTGAAATACACTCTTCTGCAACAGATTTAAAATATGTGCAATGCATTAATATAAATATGTGAGTCAAAAGTGAAAAATTCCTGTACAATCCCAAAAGAGTAGAGGTGATGAGATAAGGGAGATAAGGGAGATGATAGAAAAATGCAAGATGGGAAATGGACTGTATGAATATTGTTCTTTTCCAGTCTTATCAACAACTCAAAGTAGTTTACAGTACAAGTTGCATTCACCCATTCACATTCATACAGCGCTTCTATATGCAGCACTCACAGACGGTCGGCACAGCCGTCAGAGGCAATTTGGGGTTTGGTATCTTGCCCAAGGGCACTTTGGAAAGCAGACTGAAAAAGCCGGGGATCAAACAACCAACCTTCTGGTGAGGGGACAACCCTCTTTATCTCCCAAGCCACAGCCGCCCATTATCAATCTAGACAAAAACAAACTAAAACTTTTCCATTGTGGTTGTATACAAACACTAACCAATCACAGTGTACAATCATGTCTATGTCTAATAGGAGATATTATGTGTATTTTGTCATTACAAGCGTACACATTTTTGAGTTATTGCCAGAAACATAAGTTGAAAAGTCCCCGTGACGTCTGACCTTTGAGCACATAAATCTAATTGAGTCAAAATTAACCTTTACATACGTATGGAGAAATTCCCTCACGGTATTATATCACTAAGATATCGTATTCTCAGGAGTGGGACTGATGGACTGAAGGTATAAATGAATAGGGTGGAAAGTAATGCTGTCCAGCTGCACAGTGGGAATGTTACACAGACTGGAAGAAGGGTGTTATAGACTGGTTTAAGACCAGGAAACTATTTTTTACCACAATTCACATGAGAAAAAAAGAGCTGTCTTTACATACCTGCACAAACCAGTCAATAGTGCAGCAGTTTACCAGTGAAGGAAACATACGACAACGGGACCTGAAGGCATCGCCCACGGGACTCATACACAGCACAATGTGCAGCTTCTCCCGCACACGAGAGATGAAATACTGGAACACCTGAGGGAAAGAACACACACACATGAGGAGATGATTCTATAATTTTCAGGATTGGTGTCAGCAGGCAGAAGACATAAAAGGCTTATGTTTTCTTACAGCTCACTTGGAGGCACTGACTTTAACTAAGAGTCCTCCTTCTGAGTCTATGGCTCTATTGGCCCATTGTTGAAAGCACAGTGTAACTGTGTCATTTCTTTGAGCAACTGACAGTGGACAGTGTTTGTTTTACTTCTCATCCTAACATCCTGAACATTCCAGGGGCATATGTATGGGATATTGTTTTAGACTGGTAAATTCAAATCTTACTACAAGGAGTGTTTATTTTGCTATTGATGTAAGTAAATTGGCCCCTCACTCTTGTGTTTCCTCTCAGATTAGCCCTCTCTGGCTCATTTTCCATATAGAATGAGAGTAGGATTAGTCATATCATCAACTTTTGGCAAAAAAGAAGGCGGACACGCATTTAACAAACTATCAAACTAAGAAACAAAGTGCATAACAAGGTGGGACTTGTTATGCACTTTGTTATGCACCTGAGCAAACCACTGGCCCTTTGGGCTTTCTTTTCTCCAGACATCTGCATTAGTTGGGTTGAAATAATGATCACCATCATCATTCAGAGTGAGGACGTTCATCGTTTGCACACCCACACCCTAATTTCCTCACATGCTTTGATGTAAAAGTATAAAACTTAAGACAGGCACCTTCTGACATCATGTTTCACTGAAAACTATTCAAATACTATACAAAACATTTTGTTGCTAACTGTGCGTGAGTGTATGTGTGTGTGTTTGCATGTGTTAAACATGCAGGAGGTCTCAATGGCAGACATAAATTTAGGGGACTGTCCAATTCAATAATTTACTCAGCTCTGAATTAATCTATTTGTCTGCACTTATGTTGCAATTTCATACTGAAAAATACTTTTACAGCCTGAATGACATGTCTTCGTACAGTGCTGTAGGTGTTTGTGCATACCTCATCCCTGTTCTCCTCATTAATTCCAGCATTTTTGGCTTTTGGGCGGGTGGCAGCCAACACTTGTTCCAGCTCATCTTTCTCAAACAAGTTGGGCACCTCGCCCGAGTTCAGCATGTTGTTGATATCCTCCAAAAACTCCTCTACCACAATCTACAACAGGTAAAAGAAAGTGGATGTACAAAAGGAACAAATAGATAAACATGCCCTCAATAAACATCAACTCTCCCTCCATACCTGTGTGTCTGTAAATAGGAACACCATATCTTTGCCCTCCACACCGGCCATCTTGTAGAGTCTCCTCAAGTCTTCATGGAAGCTGTCATAGTTGTAGCCTCGACTCAGCTCAATCTGAAAGCAGCGGTACCCACACATATGGGCCGCTAACCGAGTGAGTGACTGCTTGCCTGTACCTCCCACTCCTACCAGCAGAGCATTGCCTCTCTCCTGACGAATCATACGGGCAATCCTAGAGGATGAGAGGCCAAATAACACTTGTGACAAAAAACACTCTTATAACAATTATAAATAAATAAATATATATATAGAGGTCACTCTGGTTCTACACCATGTGAAACATGTATTCTTGTCTTTAAGCAAATATTATTATTAATTAGTATGGAGTTACATTCCTTGATAAAACACTTTTCATAATCGTAATGCAGATAGTTGGTGTAAACAAATTAATTAAAGCCAGTTGGCAATGTGTTATTGTTTTGTTTTTTTCCAAGAATAAAGTATTTAGTATTTTGGAGCTGATCGTTCGGGTGTGGGGGTTTGGGGGTAAAAACCCTTGCAGTAAAGATCTGTATGCTTGTTGTAGTTACGACTTAATTTCAGCTCACAGTTTGAAAAATTCATCAACCAACTAAGTCACCTTGCAAATAAATGTGAAACTAAATGGTTTGTTTGAAAGTATCTACACACCTAGAGACATGCTCGATGGCATCCTGGAAGAAAACCAGCTTGGTCTCCTTGGAGAAGGTCATGTTGTAATCATCGAGGCAGTCCTGGAGGACAGTCTGGATCTTATTCATGTCTGTCAGATCCTCATACAGACGGTCCTCTTTATCGACACCCACCTAAGAGGGGTTTTTAAAAAAAAGAAGGAATAAATGAAGGTTGCAAGGTATTTTGGTGTAAACACAGAAATCAAATGTTTTCTGAACCTTTTATGTGCTTTTTATGACAATATCTGACCTTGATGAAGTCTCCGAATATGATGGGCTGAGTCACAAAGTATGAGGGCTCCAAATTAATACTGAAATATTTGCCTTGTAGAATGAGAGACAGGGTCAAAAAGAGGAGTAATCTCCAATTAGTAATGATGCAAAAAAAGGCGGGCTGGACGTAGAGTGACATTAATCAGTTTAACATGTGCAGGATACAAACAGCTGGTGTGTTCTTAGTGAGGGTTCTTACCGGCCATCTCAGAGATGATGGTGTTGAAATAGGTCTTATCTTGGTTGTTAATGAGTCGATCATGGAACACCCGCTGACACTCATGGCAGAAAAGACGAAAGATCTGGTTCTTATCTCTCACTTGACTCGGCTCACACTGCAATATGCCTGAACAGGAAGAAATAGACATATGTAAACAGAAAGAAAAACAGCAGCAGAAAACCGTGGGACATTGTTGAAACTGTGAAAAACCCCATAGAGCCACAAGATGCATAGAATAACAAAGGAAAGAAAAACATATACTGTATGAATGATGCAACATTAGATGTGTGGGACTGTTTGAGAACATCAGTGTTTCTGAAATAGCAAGATTTTGCTCTTCAGAATTTTTAGATAATAGTTATGAATACATATGAATCCAAATGTGATGTAATATGAACAATATGATAAGATGGAAAGACTGGACGCTGGTTGATTAACCCTCTCCAACAGCACTGCTTATATTGCTAAGGGGCACTGTGTGTTTGAGAAATGCACTCTGTGTTAAACAAGCAGTATGCAGAAAACAGTGATAGAAGACACTTCAGTTCATCTCTGTGCTCTGATGATGCCTGCTGGCTAAAAGAAGTGAGGGGAAGAGGGAAAAGAGGCAGAAGGGGTGATGGGGCAGATAATTTGAGAGCATGAGGCTGAGACAGAGCTTATAAATATAACAAATGTGGCATAAAGAGATAAATTGGGGCTGTACTGCATGCTGTGAGGGTACAAAGATTCAAACTCTTTTAGCAAATCCAAAATTGAGTTTGTGCTGTTGTGCAAGACCCTAGTTCACACCAAAAATCACAGCTTTTCAAAATAAAAGCTCTGCAATTCAGCAGAACATGAAGCATCACTGCAGCAGAACATTGTGCTTTTACTTTGGAGATAACTTGCTGAAGAGAAAGTGATTCCAATAATGTTGTAGTCATGACAGGGACCAGCACCAGCAACACTTGTGAATGTCTGCTCAGGTGTCACTCTGATATGGTGAAATAAAAATAATGACTTTATCAAAATGATCAGGCAGCCGTTTTTACCCAGTTACCAACCACATGTTTAACTTGGTCCACATACTGACTGTTACGCCCCGCCCCCACTGACTTCTATAGAGCACTGGTCACATGTTTATTAAATCTATTCACTCTATTGAAGGTACCACGTGTCAAAATCGCACCAAACCCATCACCACACTTCCTCGGGCTATTTACATTACACATTCCCAGCGTGAATTGGATAAGATGATCAGTTCACAAGATTCGACATGCAGACAGGCATTTGTGGAATTACTAAATGTATGCATGTTTTCTTTTATCTATCTCAAATTAGCATTTTGTCAACTCAACAGATTGTAAATATCTATGATTGTTCTGTGCAAAGTCCTGTGTGTCCATCGAGCTCCATGTTAGCCAATGCCACTTACAGTAGGCATATTTTCATCTCACCTTGCACACACTTGGAGAGGTCTCTGAGATTGAAGACATAGTGGGACTTGGCTGGTGTCGGGAGCAGATCCACACTCAAACGGTTGTAAATCTCCACGGCTGCATCTACTATCTGCTCAGCACAGTCCTTCACCGCTTTGGAAAACTCGGTGAGGAAACCGTTCAGGATGGCCTGCAAGGATGTTCAGAGGAGTTGGTGTGAGACATGATATATAAAGTAAAATGGGATTTAAGAAAACTGAAACAAATGAGTGGAAGGGAGAAATGAGAAAGTGAGTGACAGCTGGAGCAAGAGTGAGATATCAAAATGTATAAAAGTACAATTAACAAATCATTGAGAGCAATATTTTTTTCGTATATTCGATACAGATTGTATTATATGTGAGTGTTTGGGTAAGTGTGTGTGTATCCTGACTTTGAAAATCTGTTTGAGGCTGTGGTCTGAAGGTGTGGGCAAACACAGTATGCTGAAATGGCGGATGAATCTGGGGGTCACAGGGTTGCGGCCCCCTCCTGGAGGAGCACAGGCCGCTGCAATGGTCATCTCCTGAAGGAAAGGATGGAGGAAGAGTATTAAGGCAGGATATTAAAAAGGATTGTAAATATGAACAAAATGTTACCTATAAGAAACCTGATACTAAATTACTCTAGCAGTGATTAATAAAAGTATCATTGTTGCTCTGGAGCTCTCCATCCAATCACATAGAAACCATGAGTAACTTTTTTAACATTTCTTTGAATTCCAAAAAACTTCACTAAACTACACCCCCAATTTCTTATTTTTCCTCAGAGAAAGAAATGGAACCGCATGTTGGAAGTGAAAGCACATCACGCTCCAGCTCTATTTGTCTTTTGCTGCACTGATTTTGGAAGCACTCTGGTTTAAAGTTCAGACTTTACATCAAATCCTCATATTGATGTAAGATATGTCAGCACTAAAACTTCAAATCAATAAAGCACGTGAGTGTGAGGTAAAGGCGAACCGAAAAACAAAACAAATAAAGAGTAAGTTGGTTGCTTTGATTTGTTGCCTGGTGAAAATCACAAACACTCCCCCTCCCTGAAAAAATCTCATAACCATGCATGTACTTGTATGTATGTGACATTGTCTGTCTGTGATGTAATGTATCATTGCACAGGATTAATCACATACATACAGGTATGGTTTCTCCTGAATCTATAACTTGCCTTTACTCCATCACAAGGACACACATGCACACTAACGCACACATTCATATTCACACACTCTCTCACACTCACACATTATAAGACATCACATCAGTCACATGTACAATAGTTCCTGTGTCCATGTGTAGTAGTATAGCAAGTCAATTATTGCAAAGAAAACTTTCTATTATTGCAGAATCTGGGTCCACAGCTACAAACACACAGGCCCACAAGATGAATGGGTTTCCCACAGAAATGGACAGTCTTCATTAAAACCACAACTTGAAGACAAATTAAGTCGGTGCTGACTTTGTAAGAACACAAACGAAGGAACTACAGTGCATTTACACTTTTTCACGAAACAGAAAAACAATCTTAAACAAATCCTAACCATAAAAAAGGCACTCCATTGTTTAAAATAACACAGGTGTTTGCAGTTTTTCACTGAGGTAGATTAAAACATCAATATCAATTTTAGCTCTATGAGTGAACCCCAGCGTCTGGATTGTACACAGCATAGAACAAATATCTGTTGGAGGTGACTGTCTTGTTCACAGAATGCATCTTCTGTGTTTGACACATTTAGAAACAGACACTGAAGGTTACAACAAATTAAGCAAACAGATTTTCAATTTTGTTAAATCTCAGCAGGCAAGGCTATTAATAAATAATAAAATGTTCCTTTATATAGAAATGGCTTGTAATAGACAACTCATAAAAGGGACAAAAACATCTACAGAAAATTGAACCAGCTGAATGCACATGCATACATATGCACAGCGGCACTACTTCAGGACAGATGCACATTAGACCTGGTTGCCTTGTGCCGTGCTGGAGTATCTGACTAGAGTGCCTTCCCTTCCCACTCCCCTGCTGGCCTGCGCACACTAATCAGAAAGTTATCAGGACTCATCTCGTACTTGAAGTTTACTTTGTGTTTGTTTGATTTGCTGTAGAATTTGAGGCACACATTTCCCACAAACACTTCCTGCAGGTTATCACACAATGCGGTATTCCTTTTAACTTCATTGTTGCAGAAAACGCAACATACTACTTATCCAGGGACACATACATTTAAATCTGCAAGGTTATTACACAGATCAGCTCAGGGAGGGATTCAGATGGGGACACCTTAATTCAGAAAAGGCTACAATGAGAGTTGTTACTACAATTTTAAGGCTAAGGTGCAGCAAACAAGCTTAAACTGAATGACAAATATGTTATGACCAATAACTGAGTGTTAAACCAATATGAAGTGCATCACAATACCAAATGGCTAATGGCGGGCCAGGGCTGTCCTACCACCACTGCTCAAATAAGTTCCTAGAGGAAAGGCAACCCAGAGTTGTAGTTGCATGGAAAATGTGCTTCTTTTATGTATTTCATATTAATTCATACCTGGATCTCCTTCCAGAAGAACTTGCTTCTGTCATAGACGCCAGAAAAGTCTTGGAACTGACGCAGGAGTTCTATAGGCGGCTGAGAGCCGTAACAGTCCAGCTTGGGCATATTCAGATCATCCACGAAGACCACTAACTTCTTGTTGCCAGGAGCTCCTACAGGGAGGAGAAGGGTGAGGAAAGAAAAGGGTTATCTGATGTAAGGCTGACAGATGGATGGTTAGATTGGTTGATATGCAGATGGAACAAGTTAGCAGGGATGTGAGGGACAACTGTAAGAACTGATGAATGGATGGCTATATGATGTTCAAGGACATGAGTGGTTACTGGTGACATATATTCACATCACCACAGAATGTAAATGAATGCTGGTGTGGTAATGCAGCCCAGAGCCAAACATATTGCAGGCTTTTTCTGTAGGTACAATGAAAAATAAAGTGAATGATTTACTTTAAGTCAATTGAAAAAAACATGTTGTGATCAGCATTTCAGGTGATAGCACAATGGACACTGACCTATCAGAAAACATGCACTACGCCATTGTGCATGGTGTGTACAACATGTGAGTATACTGACTTAAATATCTGATTTGAGACAAAGAAATTTTGTTTTAGAAAACTTGTCCTACCCATTATGTTTTTCCTCTTTTTCTCCAGTTTGGACTCAATGATCTCCTGCGTGCAAGCAGAGGAGGTCTGAGCGGAGAAGCTGATGAAGACAGGAAGGTATCCGGACTTTTCTTGCATAATGTTGAGGAGGCCGCGAGCCACCACAGACTGAAACAAATAGACACACGGAAGTTATTTAAATTTTGCCACCAAATTGGTTCTGATCTTAGTTTTACAGTCTACACTATCATACATTTCAACACCAAAAGATTAATTTTCACAATAAAACAAGGCCCCAAAGCATAACAGTCAATATCATTGGGGTGTTTAAATTGTATTTACTTTTCCAACCAACATACTTCATTGATATTAAAACTTATCTGAATGGCTACAGTTAATATCTGTCTGCTTTTAAGATTTCAGTGTGCATGGGATTTTAATAAACATGGTGGTAAACTGTTAATTTAACCGGCCGCCTTAAATGATCTTTCTCTTTGCAACCAAGATGTCCGTTAAGTATCTTTGAAATGATATAAGTGTGCTAATTATTATCACAGCTTTGTAGCCAACAACAATCTTGTTAAATTACTTCAATATCAATTATATCACTCAGTTACTATCTAAAGAAATGTACACCACACTGTTGTGACTGTCCAGGACTCCTCACCTTCCCCACTCCAGTGTCGCCAGTGTAGAGCACAGAGCGACGCACAGACAGCAGTTTCTCCATTAGGTATCCGTAGCGGACAGTGTCTGTGGTGGGAACCAGCATCTCAAAAAAGGGCTGCTCGTTTTTGTATTCAAACAAAGGGATTATCGTCTCCCATGACTCCAAGCGCTTGTGGTTAAAGTTCATGTACATGCTGAACAGGGTTCCGCTCTTCGGGAGCTACACAGCAAATATGAATACACATTAATTAAAACAAATACACACACTTTAGGTAGTGTCGATATTAGACTGTATGGAAGTCGTTTTTTTGAAAATCCAGAATAGAAGAACCAAATTAAATATGAACAGTTTCCCTATGTATGTGTGTTTGTGTGTGTGCACATGCATGTGTGTGTGTGTAGTTTATATTCCCTCAAGCTTCCCAGCTGTGATCCGGATGCATTGGGCTTTATCTTATGATACAGGCACAAAAATGTAAACACAAACAGTTTTCTGGCGTCGCAAACAGCGACATCAGCTCCTTACGCACAGGCAGATAAATAGAGTTTGAAGTATGTGAGATGTTCCAGATGATATTCTGCCTTCATGAACCTTTCACTTGGTTGCTCACTTCACTTTCAGCTAAGTGAACCATGTTTGCTGTGTTCTGCCTCTGTCATTATGGTGTTTCTAAAGCCATCTACCACTAATGCCAGCTAAACTCCTCAAACAATTAGTTTTCCATATCCTGTTGGGCTGAAGGACTCATAATATCAGTCCCCAGTTTGCACTTGTTTCGTTTACATCCCTTTAACTCATTCTTTACACATTAAAAAATACTTCTTCAGTTCTATAACCCATGATTCATAATTCTCTTGAGTTGGAAAGGTAGAATAATGATATGCTATGGACTTTTATAACCTTGAATCAAAGCCCATCTTTTTTGTGATTTATCTTTGCCATGTGGTCTTTGTAATCCACTGAGGTTATTACTAAAACATACAATATGGATGCTCTTTCTTAATGTCTTCATTCACATGAGTGCATGATATGATCAAGTATAATTCCCTTTCAGATTGGCTGTGCTCCAGCTAGATACAGCCACTGTCAAAAGTACTTTGGTGTACTATATAATATGAGCTAACCTTCGGGCCTTTTTACATATTTCATGCTCTTACCAGCAAACAGTGAAAAATGGATTTGAAACTCAGTGATGGAAATGAGGGATAAAATATTCTTTGAGTGGCAAAGAAGGTTTTTTGTGACATTCTGTGTTTCTGTATGTGAAATAGAAGTGTGTGGTGTCTGCAAATGATCCAATGTGTGCAAAAAAGCTTGCCATCCAGTTCATCTATTCCTGTTTGTAACTGTGGGTGTGTGCATTCAATTACCTTTACTTTGTCTTCTGCAAACTGCTCTTTGACAAAGGTGTCAAACGAGTCCCAGTGAGAACTGTTCAGGTTGCCACCGACTGCCCATAGGTAGCAAAATATGAAGGTCTGACATAATATACTCTTGACATGCTTGGAATCCTAACACCAACATAAACACAAAAGAGAAGAAGGAAGAAGCACACTCATTAAGTTATGACATGAGAAAAATAAATTATCCACAACCCACAGTGTGCTCTTGGAAAATTCTGTGGGGTCCAATTACCTGCAGGGTATTAGACCCTGTTCAGACCTTGTATTGACATCTGTCATGAGTGATCAAATCACAAGCAGACAGCACTAAGTACAGGTCTGACTGCACTCAAATGAGTCCCAAATGTGTCCGATCACTCAGAGCAGATTCAGAGGTGGTGTTGGACATGTGTGGCTACATTCTTTTTGCTGTGTGACCGCAAATGCGTCCTGGGCCACATATGAAAGACCGCTGACATCCTCACACCCACTTCAGCTTAAACATATCAGTAATTGGGCCCGTACGTTGATTTTTTTGTACAGATGATGCATTAATAGACATGTGTGGAATCAACTCAAGTGGCAGTTACCATATTGAGGTTGGGCCCTCCTTCGCCCAGCAGCAGAGCCTCGAGCAGGAAGCACAGAGTGGTGACTTTACTGATGTCCACCTGGAGAATCACCTGAGTGCAATGCTTCAAAACAAACTGGAGACCCCTCTCCACATACTGCTCAAAGAGCTCCAGCAGGTAAGTGCGCACTGTGTCTGGCAGCTGAAGAAGAGAGTGATGGAAGAAAAGAGATGACTGTCAGCAAAGGAAAGAGGAAACCTTTATCTACACAACCAATAAAAATAACTTTGACAGGGACACAAGGTTTTGGTTTGATGAACTGTTGTGGGGAGAGAAAAACTGAGAATACACTAAATCTGGGGTAATGCTCTTCCCGGGAGAGACAGACTCCCTCAGTTAAATTTGCTAAGTGGAAATCAATGCATAATTAATTAAAAATGCTAATGGTCAAACTCTAATAAATCAAAATGTTTTAGAAGTGTAATTAAAATTATCCACAACAAAGCAAAGATTAACTTTCCCAACAAATGCAAAAAAAACTTACACAAACACTAAGAAAACTTGAACTAAAAAAAGAAAGTTACATCCCGAAACAAAATGGTGCTTGTTAAATATGTATGGAGTAATTGAGGGGGTGGATAGTCAAATGTATGAAAGAGAAAATCGAAGACAGCAGAAACAAGGAGGACAGCTACAGCAACAAACAACTTAAAGATTGATAGAGATTGAGACAGGGAGTGACACACGATGAACGAGAACGAGAGAGAGAGAGAAAGTTAAAAGTTGACAGGAGAGATGACCCACTCTCACTGACCCTTAAAGACTCAGGGCTAATGTTGCAAGCTATAAACTTTTATGTGATGTGCCGTCATTAAAGTTAATGCTGATGTCAAGGCTCTGCTTGTAATGTCAGAAAAGGGACATAAGCATTCACATAGCAACGCACACAGAGAGTAACAGTCAGGAACAGTCAGCCACAGTTTAACAGGAAGAAAATTCAAGAGCGATGATGTGGAAAGATAAAACATTAGTAATTAGTAATATAAAGTGTGTTTATGTGTGTTTGATTCCCACAACCTGGACTGTGATAAAAATTGAAGAACTATGCCATGACTATGAAACAAATGTATTAACACTACCCTATAAACATGTGGTGCTAACTTTAGATATCAAGCACAAATCCTCCGTTACAATGAGCCTGCTTTTAGCCATCTCTGTATAGAGTTTAGTTAAAAATAAACTTAGAGATAGATTATATACAACCTTGGCTCCAAGTCCACTGATCCATGTCTGGACATAGGGCATCCACTTCAGCTCATTGGGATCAATATATACCATCCCACAGCGACTGACTGTGGCTGGAGATGCCACCGCTAAGTCCTGGACCTGAAAAACAAATCATTACATACATAACTTTTATGGACATAGCAGGTAATACAAGTACAAAGAAATGAAAACTACTACTACTATAATTATGTGTTTATATGTGTACCCATATTCAACACTGTGAATTTAATTTGAAATCTTGCTTATGCTTTGACCTTACAAACACAAAATGATCAATTCTTACCTCAAACACCATATGTATGGATGGAGTCAGTTTGATTCTCTCGCTGTTAGCCAAACACAGCATCTTATTGTCATCCAGTACTGTGTTCATGTTCTCAATCCACAGGGCGTCAACTGGCCCGTCGCAGATCACCCACTTGTGGTCATCGCTGGTGTCGTTGACTGCGTTGCGGACACTCAACGCCATCAGTCCATCACGCCACTCTAGTGTCAAGGTGTTAACCTTAGGAGCCGAGGTAAATAATGAATGTATGTAGAGAGAAAAGTGAAGAAGCTGCTGTGTCATGTATAGTCTCATATCTTGAGTACCTCTCCATAGAGCTCTCCCATAGTGACAGATTTAGGGTTGAGGACATAGGTCTTCACCGGCTGATAGAAAGGGTTGTTTTGCCCTGAGCGATGGAGGGTCTCCAGTGTGTCAGCCAGGATGGTGTAGACGGTGGTCTTACCTCCACCAGTTGGCCCTACCAACATCACACCATGACGCACTATCATGGTCTCATAGAGCTGAATCACCTGGTCATCAGAACAGATAGAAAAAGTGTGAAAGATGACCATGTTTGACACAACACATCCAAGGTATCCGACAAACTATCCAAATATTGATTGGCTATTAAAAAGAAACATACTGCTGTTTTGCATGTCCTATTGTGCAATTAACAGGGACTTTGAAAAGTTTTTGACGTTTCTTTGGTTATGTGTGTGCTACAATTTTAACAGCTCTGTTTTTTTACATCCTCGACCAAGGGGTAATGTTTTCACCCCTATCCATGTGTTTGTTGGCTGGTTTGTTTATAGGCAAGATGACACAAAAAAGAAAAAGAAACTGATTACCACAAGACTTGTTGGAAGGATGCAATATGGGTCAGGAAAGAACTCATAAAATTTGGAGGCGAATCCAGGATTTCTTTTCACTTGCTTTAACAATAGTGAGATTAGGTGTTTTTCAAAATGTTTACTGTTTTTCCAAGGAATAATTAATAGATCTTGCTGAAAGAAACATCAGGCATATTTAAGGGACTGATGTTCTGATATTATTGATGAGTTCATGCAGCTTGCTTGAATTTAAGGGGGGTGTTGGGCCTTGGCAGAGGTTTGCGCTATACTGAGTGCCATTCTAATCTTTTCATGGGATTTATTGACACCAAGTAAAAGAGAAATAACTCCAGTCTTAATCTTCATTCAAAGTGTCCAACAAAAGTATACAAATCATTTTTAAAAAGGTCAAAATAATAATTATTACTTGTACTCTACCTTTTTGGTCATGCTATCAAGTGGCTGCAGGTTTCGCTTAACCAGAGACTCCAGGATGGTGGAATGCAGAACGCCATAGTCATGCTCAGGGATGCACACACCAGGAAACAGGTCAGACAGGATACCACTGCAGGGGTGCATAAAGTGGCATAATACAAAATAAATGTTTTCACATGTAACAAAAAGTAATTTTTTTTTGTATTTGTGCATTTGGAGAGTTACAAGGAAGATGTCAGGCTTACCTAAAGAGCACAGTATCATCAGTGAGAAATTTTGGAAGGTTGGAATCCCTCAATGCTCTGATGAGAACCACATCTTCACTCAGGTCAGGGTTATCTCTCTTAAGAGACCTGAGAACACACACAAAAAAGACTTGACGTAAGAGGTGGCAACATAACCAGTTCTCCAAGTAGTGCATTTCAATAAAATAAACTATTTATATGCGGGGACATTATTGCTATACTAGGCAAATTAATTAGTGTAAAATAAACTAATTACAAATCGTAATGTAATATAGATAATAAGTGGTCATCGTGAGCTGAATTTTTAATACAGCAGCAAGCAGGCTCCACTCAGTAATAAGAAAGTGGGAACAAAACCATCAGAGACAGTAAGGCTGGCGATAATGAATGTGTGCTTAGTATGGAACAAGCAGACTCAGAGGAGTAATATCGAGTCAAAGACACACAATGAATCACAAGCCAATTACAACAGTTGCCTGAGCTTCAGCTAATAAACAACAGGCAAAAGTATGACTTTCTTTAAGTATGGTCAGGAGCATCCATTTAAATCTACTTGTGTGCCCACGCACACCAGGAACCGCTGTGCTTTTGCCTGTGCAATTTCGTCTACTTAATCTCGCTCCTCATCTTTTCATGCATCTGATCTCTTCATGATGTGGATTTGACAAATAGAGGGAATTTCACACAAATGACATGTGGTAAAATTGGTCTGTAAGTGAAAAAGAGCCTCTTCTCTAATGTAGTAACATAAAAAAAGAAAAGGATCATTTAGCAAATCATAGCTTTCTAATATTTGCTCTGTGTCATCATTGGTACAAGTAGGTTTTCACTTGTAACACTGAATCTTTCACAGCAAAATCTGTACATTGATAATATTCATTGTTATTTACAGAATGTGCTGCTATGTGTGCATCTGTGGTCCTGTTGGGACTTTCCTGAAAAGGTGAGCACCTGCATGTCTCTACAACTGAATGCACATGTGTGTCAGTGTATGCATGAGTGTGAAGCACTGACCCCGCCATGACCAGAACAGACTTGACTGCTCTCATGCCAAAGTCGTAGTGGTCCTGTTGAGACAGCTGCTCAGAGCACAGCTTGTACATCTGCGTCATCTTCCTGGCGAGGGTCTTACTGGATTCAAATCCCTCAGAATACAAAATAACCTGGACGGAGGGTCAAAAACGAGGGAATAAAAACTGAGAAAAATACAGCAAGCAAGCAAATGTAACATGCAAGTGCAGGAAGGCTCTTACCTCAGCAATAAGTGCATAGTTTGGCACCATCATGGCTATGGGTCTGAAGAGAGCTTTAAGGTTGTCAGGGAGCTCTGTTCTTCCAGCATAGCCTGGGTTCATGGTGATGAATGCGGCACATGTGTTCACAAGTTTGATCTCGCGGCCTTCAAATCGGAATCTTGGCAGCTGAATAACATGGAGTTGAGGGAGATGTTTTGGTTTATGTGTGAGTATGATGTCTTAAATATTTTCAAAGGGCAGTATGTGTGGCAGTGACCTGTATGTAACCTGTGCTACTCTACTGTGCTACCTAATCTATGGAGAATACAGTAGATGACTGGCTAAATTTTCAAATGGGCTCAAATCAGCCTCTGCTATGCAAAGTGAAAGACACTTGTTTGGTTAAAAATCTAAAAGATGACCTCCACACATCGGTATAGAAGTGACAGCAGACCATCATTACATTAAACCAGTGGAATCTAGTGTCAAATGGTCGACTGACATCGTTGAGGCTTAAAGCTTAGTGTTACTGTGCATCTTAGGACAGCAGAGCAACGTCTTTAATTCTTCTCTGTGTATTGCTTGTAAATTGTCTCATAATCAGTGCCTTGTAAACACTGTTAATGGCCTGTTATGGTGTGTTGATGAGAGCTTACCTGAGCAGATTTAGCATTTCGTATGGTTATGAGCTGCTGAGCGATCACAGACAACACTTCAATGTCGATTCGGTTAAATTCATCAAAACAACACCAGGCTCCTGACTGAGCGAGCCCACTGAAGAAGCGGCCCATCATCTGGAAGACACATTTGCAATTGGTCAAAAAGAAACAGCAATTTTAATTCCAATTCCAAAATAAAAAAGCATGATGAATGTGTCTTTTGCTTTTAATATTAGTATCAGTTCATTCCATTATGCCTGCATTACATTATGCTACCTGCTCCATGTCTGTGAGTAACATGAAAAGCACTTCAATGCCCAAAATCAAAGGTATTAACATCTCATGGACAGTGCTATTATATGTTAAAATTAAATGCTGCTCGCACTGACACTGGAGCCAGACCTCAACAAAGCATTAACACATAAAACCAGAGAAAGCCGTGTTGCTAAACCCTTTAAATCAAAGCCCCATCCAGTTCTGATACACCTCAGGTGTCCTCTGGCAATAACTAACTACAGCAGACAGAAGAGAATTGCTTTCCAGCTTTCTTGTCAGTGTGTCGGTTCGGCTGAGCTGACTCTAGCCTCATTGCACTGCAAGACACAGGACACAGCACTATTTAACTTCAAATTCTCAAGGTCAAAGGACCAATCTGAAGTTTTGAGGATTATAAAATATAGACCTACTGATTTGAGTTAAATGTCAGCCCATCATAATTAATAGAAAGTAAACGATGTGCACAAACAGACACAGTGAATAACACATGTACCATAAGAGCTATCTCAGGAGAAATATAAGGATCCATTCCTGTGTTGGTATTAATACAGTTTCCATTTGTTTGATATGATTCATACTTCTACTAAAATGTTTATACAATAATTACAGACAAAACATTTAAGGATGTGACCAGCCATATGACACCTGACATTAGCCGCCCTAACATACATTTTACTTATGTTCCTCAAATGAACTAGTTATAAGAAAATGACCAAAAGAGAATAAAAGGAGAGGTTTCAACAGCACACAACTATGGCTCTGTGAAGCATTTCAGTGATTTCACAAAAGATAGAAGTCTTGACTGCTTCAGCAATAGTGCCATCTAAAGGCGTAACAAAGTCGGTACAGACGGAGTGGGAGAGAGTCTCAAGCAATTTCAAAGAGCAAACAAGTGTAATGGCAAACAGCTGCAGTAAACAAAAGACTGCTGAACATGTAGAGTAGGTAAAGAGGTGATGGAACAAATGATTGAATACTGAGCAGGAAAATAAGCAAAGAGAGCACTCAAAGACCTTATAGTCAAGCCCATCAGAGCAGTTGAAGACAACACACTGTATGGCCAGTGCCTTGGCCAGGTCCTTGGTGGTCTCTGTTTTGCCTGTTCCTGCTGGCCCGGCTGGAGCACCTCCTAAATCCAACTGGAGAGCCCCCATCAGACAAAGGTAGCAACGGTCCTGAAAAGTAGAGAGGTACGGATGAGAGGGGGGAAGTTTCATTCACAACTGAAAAATTAAACAAGACAAGAACTAAACAGATGGTCTTCTCTGTTTCTGTTCTGAACTCGCACAATTGGGACATGTCTGTCGCTTTATGTGAAATCTAAATTAACTCACACAGTGTTTATTAGCTTCTGAGTGGAAGCTTGTTTAACTGATTATAAAAAATTGTCATTCCAGTTTGCTTGCATAGCTTTAATGCGAAGTATTGTGTTACCGTAAGTGGTGTGATGACCAGTCGTGGACAGGCTCCCAGGTATTCATAGCCATAAATGTACGTGGACAGAGCCATTTTGGCTACACAGCTGTCTATATCCATGTCCCAGTAGTATCGTAGCTGTCTCTGCCATTCAAAGTTAGATCTGGTGTCCACCTGAAACAGAAAGCTGAAGTTACTTTAAGGTGGCAAGTTTTAGAAATCTCACATTAGGATCTGAGTCAGCTCCTGCTCCTATCAAAACAAATCAAGAATAGACAAGGACAAAATCTGCTTGATGGGGTTTGCACTAATACTTCACAACTGTACCTTGTGCTGGACAAGATCTGTGACAATATCTCTGGCATGGACATCGATGGTGATGAGGGCAGTGATGATATTACGGTGCAAAATAGGGAGCTGTCTTCGTACCAAAGCCGCCAGGGAATTTAGCCTCTGAAATACAAGCAAACATGGACACAACCACAAAACATCATCGAGTTAAAAGGTTAAAATTAGTTGGGCATGAATAAAGTCTAGATTTACTTTGTCACACCAAATCTGAAACCAAATAATGAGGATAAAAGCAAGCTGTAGAGCTATTAGTGAGGATTACATCAATGTTGGTGAGCTCAAATTCCTGCAGGGCAGCAAAGTGGTTGTGATCTCCCTCCAGGCAGGCATCCATATCCCTGCACCACATCAGCTGTGAGATGGTCAGCACCACCTGGTGGACACAAAAATATACACACAAACTCATATTAAATGCCTCCATTAAAAGACACTAAATGAGATAGTTATGGTTCCACTGAGTGAATAATCATAGAATCAAAATACTTCTAAATGTAAGGAAAACAACTGATAAAGGAATGCAAAATATAATAATATATAATGATGTTTTAACATTTCCACATGTTAAGTCAAGTGTAATACTACACACAACAGCACACAAGGCTGAGATTGAAAGATTCAAAAGGACCAGCTCATACGTACGTATGTGTGTGTGTGTGTGTGTGTGTGTGTGTGTGTGTGTGTGTGTGTGTGTGTGTGTGTGTGTGTGTGTGTGNTAATACTACACACAACAGCACACAAGGCTGAGATTGAAAGATTCAAAAGGACCAGCTCATACGTGTGTGTGTGTGTGTGTGTGTGTGTGTGTGTGTGTGTGTGTGTGTGCGTGTACCTGCGATGGATGTCCAGCCACCACCCACTCCTCCCTAGACTTAATCTGGTAGTCTGCAATGGCGGCCTTGCTGAGGTGTCGCAGTGAGGAGAACATTGCTTCTTCCACATCGCAAAGCCAATCCTCCACATTGCCTAGTGCCTTCAGACCTTTAGTCAGATTCACCTACACACACAGGAGGAAGATGCAGTTATGGACATATGCACATGTGTTTTGTCTTTTTTTTAATTGAGGGTTCACTGTGAATCAGTTCTCACAGCAATTATTTGCCCTTTGAATCTACCTCTGTGTATGGAGGGTGCTTTATAAATAAAATTGCCTTGTCTTGCTGTGCCTGTGATCATTAGACTGCTGTGGTCATAGCCAATAACCCCTTGGTCAGTTATGTGGGCATGACTGACAAGCCCCATGTCTGACACAGTGGGTGACTAAGCAATTAGGAGGAGCAAAATTGCAAGTGCACTCAAAGATGTTTCATCATCCTTGTTGCAGATTTCGAGAGGTCAAACACAATTTAAGACGACGATCACCATGGTGCTAATTACGTGTGAGGAGAGACTCAGTCCTCATGACATCTGCTGTGAAAGACAAGACTAATCCTCTTCAGTGGTTAGATTTAGCTGCTATTCAACTTTTTGACTTTGTGGCAAACCAATATATTCTGTGGTTTCTAAAATGAAACCCCCACATTATTTAATCTGAATAATTTAAAAAATTTGGCATGTCCATTTTTTGCTTCAATTACTGCTTGTACAGGTTTTTGCACAATGTGAGAATCTACTTATTCGAGCTCTCGTTGAGGGTTGTTAAGTGGCTGACAGGGTTAAATAGTGTTGTAGTTTTGTATGGAGAGAAAGGGAGTACAAGAATGTTTTCCTTCAAACTTACTCTCTCTCATTCTCAACAAGGACAAGCTAACAACAGTGGGAATAGAATACAATCAGAGAGCCTGACGAGAAAATGTGTTAAGGTTACTCAAACCAGACCTTCTCTCCTTCAGGAGAGATCATATACAGGATGTCTTTGCTGTATATGTTCTGTTCTCCAGCATCCAGCGCTGCTCCTTTAGCATCAGGAAGCCCTTTGGGCAGCAAAGCGAACTCCAGCCGGGTAATGGCATCAAAACACTTCCTAAGGTGTGGTTGCACAGCCTGAGGATTTCTTGTCTGGGCCAAGATCTTTAGCAGCTCATCATTAGATAAGAAGTAGAACCTGCAGGGGACAGATAAAGAATGATTATCAGAGCAGGCAACACTACACACACATGGCCATAGTAGTTAGTACTCAGTGCTCATTTGGAGGAGATGTTCAGTAAAAACTGTCAAGGGGGGAAATGCCAAGCAACATGGTATGTAAATTATGTGTAAAGTGTGATAATAAAGACAGCATGTGCGTACCTGGGAAAGATGACTCTCTTGGACTCAAGGTAGGCTTCCAGACACTTCTGTATCTCATCCAGGAGAGCATTGTTGTTCTGAAAGGTCTCCAGCAGATCTTTATAGGATAAAATGACTTGTTTGTATGTGTGAGTGATTGCATTTGTGATTGTGAGTATCTGTCTGCCCATGTCCAAATATAGAATTTTTTCCACTCACGCTGTACCATCACCTACCAGGCTGTGAGGCTGCTTTAAGTGCAATAGGCATCTTTTTGACCCTCGCCATGATCTCCTTCCAGGACTTGTCCACCTTAAGAAACAACTTGGACTCCGCAGGCAGCTGCCTCTTGATATCTGGAGCTAAGAAAATACTCTCGAGGTAGAGCCAGTTCCTTTGGCATGTGAGCCACTCATCCTGTAACAGAAGGGTGAAATCAGCAGAGGGGCCATTGGGAAAATGTGAGCCCAGGGAGAATTTAAGAGGCAAACGAGATTAATAATGTAATTAAACTACAGTCTTAAGTGTGACACTCTTACTCAGTCTTTACATGAACTGAAATAAAAGAATCAATAAACATTAATAAATAACAATTACTTTTGCAGCCAGTAGGGAGAGCTACTGTGTTACATTTAAAGCTATGTCAGCGCAATAACTTGCAGCCAGATGTAAGATCATTATATTCAATGGTATCTACAGTGCAGGGGTATGGTTCTAAGCTGTTACCAGTGTTTGGTTGAGGTGAATCAGCTCTTCCATCAGATTGTCCACCCTGAGCTTGATGGGCGCTATGTAGCGGGAAGATGCTGCTGTGCCCACATTAATAAGGCTGTCGTCCAGGAGTACCTACACAGCAGGCAAACGTAGTGAACACAAATTAACACAATCTGATGTACTGTAAGAGAGAGTGTGTGCATGTTTATGCTGCATGTTGATACCTGGATTTCATCCGTGCCTCCCAAGATATACATGTCTTGGGAGTCGCCGTGAGATAGAACAGTGAACTCGGTGGTCTTCCACAGGTCCTCCACCTGCAAGGCGCATCCAAAGAGCAGAGGTTAAACAACACTGTATTGGATTCTACAAGTAACCTTTATGCATGTGTGTGTCTCATGTGTATCCACAAAAAGACATTCATTACAATAGTGGTGACCCAGTGACACTGGACTCATGGTGAGAGGGGATTTGTCGCAAGGGAAAAGTCTGGACTCCAGCAACCAGAGAACTGAATATCAATGTCTACTATTTTCATATTTAATTCCCATTACACACAGTGGCTTACAATCATCACTGTATATTTGTATATATCTAATAGAAGATACTGTTAAGATACTGCAAAGTTATATTTTAGAGAAATGTGAGTGCTATGGTGGAGGGCAGATCCCACGGATTGATTTTAATTGTCTATTAAATAATGCCAGCCACCACTACATAAAACAAGCCATGTTGCAAACCTGCACGCACATGCCACCACATTACTTGAGTGTATAAAAGTGTATAAAAAGTGTGACCTCTTGGCATGTGTGACCACAAAGATGACATGATTACAAGCTCATATTCAAATAACAGGTCTTAAACTAAATGGGTATAAAATATATGCATAGGTAGTCAACACACCTTTGTAATAACAGTCTCCACCGATGCCTCTCCTGAAGCCTGTCCTGAAACCTGAAAGTCAAGGGCTGTGTTAGTCTTGTTTATCAAGGTTTAAGTTAAACGGTATTAAGTAAACCTAGCTTGTGTATTGAAGGTGAGTATTGTATCTCCATTTGTATGGTACCTCTTGTATTTCTGTGCCATAGGAGAATATGTTGAGCTCCTCCAAAGCGGCCACAGTGAGCTCTGCCACATTCAGGGAGGTCTTCATAATAGACTCCAGTGTCTTCCAGTGTTCTGGCTTCATACATGGGTTACGCAGATCAGTGATCAGAGGCAGCTGATGGAAAACACATAAACAATCATTTAGATAGAGTCAAAGCAGTCGTGTAGAACAGACTGGCAACATCACAACGTCTTGCTTTCGGTCCATATTTCGATGTGTTGTAATGTTGTCATTGATGTCAGCCACTACAAAACACTTTCTCCAACCCACCCTGTGCTTCATGACTTCGATCTTGTCCTTCAGACTTGGCACTACGTTGTTGCGTGGCAGACCCTTCTCCAGCTGGTTGAGGTATTTGCAGTATTTGGTCATCTGTGAGTTTAACTGCTCCAAGTCCAGTTGCTGAAGTGTGCACTTTAGAGGTAAGAAATGAAGGAACACAGCTGGGTTTTAAAGAGAGAAAGAGCTGCATACATGTGTATAATATACCATATGCCTGTCCAGGATAACGCATACAGTACAATTCAGTCTTGCTACGTGCACCTCACCTGCTGCCACCCATCCTGGAGAGAGTCCCATTCCTCAAGAGAGTCCCACAGCAACTGCTTCAGCCTTAAATCTGCAGTTAACTCATCCAAGGTGTCAAACTTGGTCACCTCAACCTGTATATAGAGAAGGATAACTGGTTTGGATTAGTGGGCTTGTTATTTGGGAATACTACAACACAAATAATTTTGTGACTTGCCGTGTTCAAAGGAGAATGATTTTACAGATAGAATCTGAAGAATTACAGCACCTTGAATTTCTTCTGGTAGGAAGTGTAGGTAGAAGCCTGGGCCTGCATCTCATCAACAGAAATCTGGATCTCTCCCAGCAGCAGACGCACTCTGGAGGAGTCTGCATTGATGTTTAAGATTTGTGGATCCTGGGAAACAAGTAAAGAGGGAGTGATAAGTGAATCATAAGTGAAAAAACAAGTAAAGATGGAATGATAAGTGAGTCATAAGTGAAAAAAAAAACACTGTATAGTCCCAAACTTTGTGTTTGTAAGTGTGAAAACAGGTAATAAAGGTTTTCCATGTACCTGTGACTTCAGCTTGGTTTTCATGACCTCCTGGTTCAGCTTCACTATGTCCTTTTGTAGACAAGTGCACAACTGGTTCATGCTGGTATCCCTCTCTGACACTGCCTCATCAATGAGCATGTGCAGCGAGTTAATAGAAGATTGTAAGGTGGCAAAAACAACCAGATCCTCGGGTGGCGTGGGAACCAAGTACGTCTTAATCAGATTGTACATCTGACACACAGTCTCCTGTTCCTCGTCTAGCACTGTAATCTGGTAAAAGGAAGGAAAGGAAAGGGTAAGAGTCAGACAGAAAAAGTAAAGGAGGTGGTTTGGTTGATGGCTATAAGGTGTAAAATATCAGAATAGGGGTTTATTGCCAAGAAGGTTTAAACATACATGGAAATTGCTGTGGTATGTTTGTGCAAGCATAAATATGGAAGTATAAAAATAGAGAAGATAAAATATCACTAGAAGACAGAAATGTGCAATATGAACAAAAGATTTTTACAATTTGATGTATGACTGTTATCAGCCACAGAGAGTTCACAGTCACAGGTGAAGACATTAGTGCAGTGCAATGTTGAAAGACACTACGATTAACATGATATTTAAGTCTTACCCTCTCCTGTATCTCATCCAGGAATATGAGAGAGCTGGCTAACTCAGTGGTAGTAGTGGGACTAAACTCCAGTTTAAACTGGGCTTCACATGCCTCGCTGATGATGGCATCTAGTTTCCTCTTAGCCAGCTTGGTGAGCATCTCATTGATGATCTGGAGGATGGATTCAGAACAAAGCAATTATTCCTATGTGTGTTCTCTAGTGCGTATTGAATATTTTATAGTACTTATTCCAATAGATCACTGGAACTCACTTCACATTTACATTTCAGTGATGTTTAATTAACACTGAAAGGCCTCACTGCCCTTTTGTTTGAATCACCAGTTCATCATGATCAAATAATTAAACTCACTGACTATACGTTTCAATAAAATATGACTATATGTCTCTGTGCAGCATCTGTGTGCATCTGTATGCTCGTCCTCACATTCAGACAGTGCTGGGGGGAAGATACAAGCTTCTGTTTGAGCTTTGTTTTGTCCACCAGCAGTAAACCCAGATGTCTTTTCTGCTGGATGTCTTCGGCCTCTTTAAGCTGACTGTGGTATAACCGCAGTGCTTTTTCAAAGAAGGACAAACCTGTGAAATTAAGTCAACAGTCATCAGTCTGACAAAGCTGCACATTCTACTTCGCTTGCTCTGCCCATCAACTACAAGTCATGTATGTTTACTCAATGTTTGTCTTTCAGGTTTTCCCTTTTTTCCAAAACTGTTCAAAAATGCAAGGATTAAACGGTCCATAATTTTTCTTGTCTTACATTTCCTTGTGCCTTTTTATCTTTCTAACCTGCTGTGCAGCAATACTGTACATGTCTATTACCTGCATCTCAAACCCCTATTCATTGTAATAATAATAATTCTAGTAATAA